CTCCACTTCTGGGTTTTTGCTGGTTAAATGGAGATACGTTTCTTGGACTTCTCAGCCCCGGCTGGCTTTGAACTACAATCCTCAAATCTCAGCTTTTAGAGTAGGAAACCTAGACTGGGGTGGTGCTTTGCCCTTACTGTCAAGGTATAGAGCTCCCAGTCTGATGGGGGAGGCCTCTTCCCCTTGAGGAGTCTCCTGGCAGGCCTGGAGACTAGAAGGCCCCAGACAGCCCAGGGACTCACTGCTGGGTGGAGTGGGTCCAGGGGGGCGGGGGGAGTCTGTGGCATTCCCTTGTCCCACTCTGCCTGTGGTTGCCTGGGCCATGGCTCTGCCGGTTGTTTACTTTGTGGCTGGCTCCCAGCTTGCCCTCTTCTGCAAGTACTCATTTCCCACCATGAATGAAGATGCTCTTCTTTGGTCTCCCCTCCCTTGGCGTCCGTGTGGCAGGCCCCAGCCCTCCTGCCAGCCTGGCACTAGGAGCAGCTTCATCCTGGTGTATCATGTCACCTACCCCCTTTCTTGACTCCCAAAGGGCCGATGAGCTAGGGCTAGAGTTGTGCCTGGGACTGCTAGGGGAAGGGGAAGGAGTCATCTCCATGCAAATGTGTTTGCCTAGGTGTCTGTATGTGTCACCAGGCCTTGTGCACACTAGGCCCTGTTTGCATATGTGAATGTAAGTGATTGGGTGTGAGAGCCTGCAATCCAAGCAGCTTACATCTATAAAACCCCTACTGTGTGCTCCAGCCCTGTGCTAAGACTTTTTTCTTTTTGGTCGGTCATGGGATTGAACTCAAAGGCCAGACACTGTCCCTGAGCTCTTTGCTCTAGGCTAGCAGCATACCACTTTGAGCCATATCTCTACTTCCAGTTTTCTGGTGGTTAATTGGAGATAAGTCTCACCACCTTTCTTGCCTGGGCTGGCTTTGAACCTCGATCCTCAGATCACAGTCTCTTGAGTAACTAGGATTACAGGCATGAGCCACCAGTGCTCAGCTGTGACCTCTTTTTTTAGATAACTTATTTATGTTAAACGTTAAGTGGTACTGGGGCTTGAACGCAGGATCTGGGCACTACCCCTTAGCTTTTTGCTCAAAATTGATGTTCTACCAGTTGAGCCACAGCCCCACTTCTGGCTTTTTGGTGTCTAATTGGAGCTAAGCATTTTATAGACTTTCCTTCCCAGGCTGGCTTTGAACTGTGATCTTCAGATATCAGCTACCTGAGTAACTAAGATTATAGGCATGAGCCACCAGCGCCCAGCTATGTAAGCATTAATTGACTTAATCCTCCTAAAGTCCTTTGAGGTGAAAGTTACATACTTCCTCATTTACTGGTGAGGAGTCAAGCCTCAAAGAGCTTGGATAACTTAACTGGCCAGGGTCTCTCAGCTCAAAAGGGGTAGACATGAGACTGGGATCCAGGAGGTCTTGGCATTTAGAGGACTTCAGAGCTCCTGTACTGGCCCCTCTCCAAGATTGTGCTGGGGTGTGTGGCATCTGAAGTTCGGGCTGCCTCACTAGCCCTAGCCTTCAATAGCTCTGGCTTAGTTTGGGGAAGAGTGACTTGTTACAATTCATCTGAACCCAGGGCAAAGTGACCCTAGAAGGGGAGAGTGTGACACAGGATCTGGAGAGACCCTTTGTCAGATTTAGTGCTGGGTCCTCAAGTTCCTGATGATACAGGTTGTGTGCATGTGGAGGGTGCGGGGAGCTCAGGCTTGCTTGACCGGCCTATCAACTTGGCCTGTTGGGGCATGTCAGGTGGGGGCCTCCTCACCAGCAGTGCTGGGAACCAGGCATCCAAATGGGGCTAAAGGGTGGAGGAGGCCCAGGAGGCGGCTGCCCATGAGAGAGGAGACTGGAACAGGGGTAAAAGGCATGGGCTGGAGGGCATTTTGGGGAAATCACATGGCCTGCATGCCTGGGATAGCCATGGTGTCAGGTGGATTTTCCCTGGCTATGTGAGAGGTTGTGGGATGATGTTTATGTGTTGGTGTTTGGTGGGATCAGGTGAGCTTCATCTGGATCATACTTTTGGGTTGGGGCATTGTTGGTCACCTTGTAGTTTGGGGCCTGCATTCTGGGAAGAGGTGTTGAGCAAGCTAGAGGAAGGAAAAACAGGCTGACTGACCCTGAGGCCCTCCTTCCCACTTCCTGAGCCACAGGCTCTGCAGCAGTATCAGTGTCCCTCTGTCTCATGTCCCTGACCCCTGGGCTTCAGGACGATCTCCTCCCCTTCCCCAGTTCCTGATGACCAGGCTCTGGCCCTGCAGGTTTCCGCTCTTGAAGCCCAAGGCCCTAACTCGGGTGCCTCTGATGGCATGTCAGGGGTCTCCTGGTACCTGGTGGGGTCTCTGTTGGTGGTGAAGACACTAGCTGAGTCTGTCAGGAAATTAGGGACCACCCAAGGGCTTCAGGAGCTGGGTGATATGCCTGAAAGAACCCTAAGGGCTCTGGTGGCAGGCAGAGATGGAGGGTACCTGAGTCTTCAAAAGCTCCTGGCTTGGCGCTCCTTCCCCTCCCCCCTGCTCCCAGCACTCCACCAGATGTGGTGGTTGAATGGGCAGAGTGATACAAAAGATCTGGGTGAGGGCTCAGAACCCTGGAAGCTGGTCTCAGCTTAAAAACAGCGATGACTTAACCAGACCACTGTTCTCTTTGAACCTGTTTCTATAGCCAAAAACAAACAAACAAAACAAAACAAAAAACAGTGGGGGTATGAAGAGCAATCCCTGGATACCCAGCATTTAGGGTCCCCGTGAAAACTAGTGAAAGTACTTACAAGCATTTGGGGATGGTTATCTCTGGAGGAAGAAGACTGCATGCTCTCCCTTTGGGGGAGCACTCCTGTATTCCCAGGGACCCTAAGGAAGATAGGCTGAATGGATTTTGCAAGCTGGTCAAACTAAAGGGGGATGGGAAGGACTGCTCAGTGGGGTAATTCCTGCCGTGGAGGGGGAGGAAGCTGGGCAGGGTGTGTGGGGGGGAGGATTCTCTGGGCAGGAAGGCTTGGAATAGAATCTCAGCAACGCCTGGTATTTCCCAGGCCTCGGCCCCCTCCCCCACTGCCTCTGGGGCCCACCCCACATTCCTTTCCCAGAGGAAATAGGGGAGGGAGCAGGCTCCCCAGGCCTTCGGAATCATTTATTCAAGCTATGTGCATCTCTGAGGAGGCAGTAAGGCAAAGGGAAGGAGGACTGAAAGGGTCTATTACCTTCTCTGTCCGACCTTGCTGCCCCTGCCAGGTTGGGAAGTTCACATCAGAGACAGCTGTTCCCTTTCAAGGTCTGAGACAGGAACCTCAGGCCACATCTCCACTGCTCCTCGCCTGGCAGACCCCAGAATCCTCTGAAGTTCTGATCCCAGGCAGGTAGTACCTGTTGGCCCTGAACTTAAAGCCTGAGGAAAGGCAGTTAAGCAGCTAGAAGGACTTCCTGGCTGCACGCTGGGAGACAGCCTTGCAGCCTCTGCCTTCTCTGCAGCGTACCCCTCCCCGTGGCCAGCATGACTGAGGTGGACATCTTAAGCTGCACTTCTAGCCATCCATGAGGTCTATGAGGGCTTTGGGGTTGGGGGGTACCAAGGAGGTGCAGGGTAGGAACTAGTCAGAGCCAGAGTTCTTGATTTTGTAGGGACTAGAAGGGAGAGGGGACAGTGGAGGTACAGAGACACAACCCACTGTCCCTGACTGCCCTGTTGTTCCTGACTGCGGTCCTTCCCCCTGGTCCCCCAGGTCCTCCTGACTCAGCTGGTGGCAGCCTTGCTCTTCCCTTCGGGCTTCCGCAGGGTGGGGGTGGGGGTCCAGCTCTTGCAGGGGGTGGGCGGCCCGCAAGCGGCAAACAGGAAACAGGAGAACAAAACCGCTCCCTGGCTGACACAGGCTGCCTGGGCCTCACCCTGGCCCTCACCCTTCCTCCTCTCTCCTCCCTTCCCTCCCTTGATCCTGCCCCCCCCCCCTCCCCCAGGGCCCAACCTCTTCCCGTGGATCTGGGGACACGATCCAAAGCTGAAATGTGGGGCTCTGGATTTTGGTGTCTCAGTGCCGCCATGACAAGCTGGGTGCTGTTGGGCCATAGTTTTTGTCCTCTACAAACGTGGGCCACTGCTGTGGCGGCCAAGAGCATTGTTTGTGAACAGTGAAGTGGTTTAGGGATGGGGGCGATCACAGAGCTTGGAGCTGTTGGCTTGGCAGAGGCCCCTCTTCTAGAGCGGATGGGGAGGGGGGGTGAGGATTCTATCCGCCCCCTGAGGGTATCTGTGTGGGTGGTCAGAGTAGGTCCTGTACCCTGTGCTGGCCGGTGGCCGTGACAGGTTAGACTGCACTGTGCAGTGGGAAGCTGACATCTCTCGGTGTGGAGTTTGTGGGTGTCCATGGGAATCTATAGGGGTCTGACCGTGTGTGTGTGTGCGCGCGTGCGCGCGTGTGTGTGCCCACCTGCGCACTGGGAGGGGACCAGGGTGTTCAAGGTAAGGGGCTGGCTGCCCGAGTAAGCGAGTAAGCCGGTGCGGGGAATGTCAGGCGCGCCAAGCGCGTGGGGGCGTGTGTGCGGGGTGGGGAGGCCGCGCTCAGGGGCCGCCCCGGAGGGGGAGGCGTCTGCCCTGTGCGACTGCCCGGGCTGTCCCGGCCCCAGCGCCTTCAGTGGGGCGGCGCGGGAGGCGCGGCGCTGCTCCAGCCGTCCTGCCTCCGTCTGCGCGGGCCGTTCGTCCCCTCGGGGCGCCTGGGCCCCGGGCCCGCGGCTCCGGGGGGCGGGCGGGGACCCTCGGGGTCCACCTGCTGCCGGTGGGGTCAAGGACGCCTTCCACCGCGCGCCGAGCAGTGGCCGCGGGTCCCGGTACGGCGCGCCCCGCTCCGGAAGCCAGGCCCCGGGCGCACGGGGGCCGGGGCGGTGGTCGTGCCCGGAGGCCCCCGCCGGCTGCGGCGCTCGTGGGCAGCGCCGTGTGGCGCGTGGAGCGCGCGGGGACCGGGGGCTGGCGTTGGGAGCGCGCCGTCGGCGTGGACTGCAGCGCCCCGGAGCCACGCTGCGTCTGGCTGCCCTGTCTCAGCCACAGCAACCGCCGCGCGCCCGGGCTGCACCGTGCCAGGGTGAGCAGCACCGGGGCTGGCGAGGGGCGGGGGGAGCGCAGCCAAGTGTTGGCAGGGGTTGGGGACGCCCAACCAACTCCCTGAGACTTTACAGCTGTGTGCACCGTGCCCTGTAGGACTGATGTCCTGGCGTGGGTAGTGCGCCAGGAGGCTGAGATGGGAGTGAGCGTGGCAGAGTTGGTGGCGTGACTTTCCTCGGGGTGCTGGAGAATAGCCCCCACACCCAACTCTGGGTGTGGTGGCTTTCCTTTGGGCTCAACCCTCTAGGTGTGGAAGGATGGAAGGGACCTGATCTAGGGTTCCTGGAGTGTGTAGACTGGCAGGGACTGGAGCCAGAGCTGGGCACCGGTACCATTAACCTGAGCAGTAGGTACCACCGCACCCTCTCTCTGATAGGACCCGGATTTAGGGCCCCACAAGGGCTTTGTGGGCAAAGGAGGCTGAGATGGCAAAATGGGCCCCAAAAGGTAGTGAGTGATCTCGGGAGCCCCAGGGCTAGCTCTGATGTCCGGGATCTACTAGGCTGGTAGGCATGAGTCACCGGGCTCCATGCCCAGCCTGAATGTTGTACTCTCTGTAATGACCTCTTTATGCTCCGGAGTGGGGGGGGGGGGGGGGGAGCAGGGGAGTAGGCCTCCTGGGTTCTAGTTTCTGGTATCACCAACAGGCTGTATATCCACTTCTGCCTACCTGGGGCCTTCTGTTCTTCTCTCATACCAGTTGGTGCTTCTGGCTGTCTCTTCTCTTTCCTGACATGAGGATGAAAGTGTTTGCACCTAGTTCTAGCCCAGGAAAGTTTAATTAGTCACGTCCCTAGGCCCCCTGCCCTTCCCCTGTCTTTTTTCTTATATCAGAGAGAAGCAGAGCTGGAGAGAGGTGGGCAGTACCTCTTCCCAGTCTAATCACTTTTCTGTTTTCTTGTTTTTGTGACTGTCACCTCCCTTTCCCTCAAGACGAGAATAAGACTCAGGGTTGTACCAGGTCAGAGGGGAGGAGAGGAAACCTACTGAACAGCATGAAGGACTGAGGTTAAGGCAGAGAAAGAACTTCCCACAGAGGGAATGGAACCATCTGGATCTGGGTCTGTGGTGTCTCCTCTTCAGGCACAAGTGTGGTAGCTGTGGTAGGGCATTGCTGATGTTCTCGGGAGCCTAATTGGAAGGGGTGAGAGAAGAGAGCCTGGAGGAAGGAACAAATGAAGGGAAGAAGCAGAGATAAGGCAGGGGCCACCAGTAGAACTAGGAGGGGATGGACCTCCTGGAGGAAGGCAGGCCCACTGTCCTGGATTATAGGCAGGTCTCCCCAGGGAGTAGCACCCCCTAGACAGCTGGCAGCTCCAGTCAGGATGTGTGCAGGGGGAGGGGCAGGGGGCGTGTGGGGACCTGTCCCAGCCACTTCTCATCACTGGGGCAGCTGGTGGCTTAAACCTTAATCCAGGACACCAAAACAATGAGCCCTGAAAACAGCCTCAGCTCAGAGCCCTGGTGTGTATGAGTGGGGACATGGGGTGGAGCAGGGGAGGCAGCCCACACTAAACAGGAGCAGGAGCTTCTGCAGAAAAGCCAGTGTGTTCTGGGTGGGAGGGGACCCACCCTAGGTCCTCTTTTCTTCCTGATCAGTTCCTTGCCAGGTCAGCAGAGATAGGAAATCCAGGGGATTTCAGACCTCAGCAGAATTTCCACGGAATGTTCTCTGGGCTCTCTGGACCCTCATGGGCTGTGGGACTCAGTGGAAGAGTCCATGCTGTAGCTGTAAGTGGGAAGAGCAGAGGAATATCACTCGATCTCAGTCCTGATGCTGGAATCCCTGCTAAGGCTTCCCAGACTGAGAGTGGTCCAGTTTTGGACCCTTCTAGGGTTGGGAGATTCCAACCTCACTGCTGGGGTTGTTTTGTTTTGTTTTTCCACATTGTGTATGATGAGGTCTCTCTTGCCTGGAGCTTCTCTCAGCCTCCTGGTGTCTTTCCCCCGCCTCTGTCTTCTGGGGCTGTTAACCAGCCAGCCTGTTCCCTCTGTCCCATTTTTTCTTTCATCTTCTGGGATTTGGGGATGGATCCTCGCTAAGCCTGTTCCATTGCAGCTCAGCCTTCTAGCCCTAGCAGAGGTCTGCACACATGCACTGCGCAGCCCTCCCTGGCTGGCTGTGTTTTCAGGGTGGACTATGCTGGACATGGGCTTCTCAGCATCAAGGCATTAGAGTGCAGGAGTCCTCCAGTTTCCTCCAGCCACTAAAATAATTTAGGTTGATGTGAGAGCTCAGCCCAGATCTGGTGGGCTTCTCCTCGCTAGTCCCCAGCCCTCTGTACATTTCTCTACAGCTGCAGGCTTAGGCTGAGCTGAGGAGCCAGGCATGGTGGCCTATGAGGGTAGACAGTGTCTGCCCCTTGAAGGTTTGGATTAGAGGCATTACTCTGCTCAGGCTGCCCCTGGAGGGGTTGGAAGGCTTGAAGAGTCCTTGAGAGAAGGAGGCCTCCCAGCTTTTCCTGTGGCCACCTCTCTTTCCCCCCAGAACCCTAGAGAAGCCTCCTGCCCTCCCCCAACTAATTGCTTTCCCTCACTCCTATCTTCTCCTTCCAGGCCCTCTGTATAGCCTCTCTCACACTTTTCTGTCACCTGCCATTCTTGGTGTCCAAGAAGACCGGAAGGCAGACTTCTCCTAGGCACCAATTGTCTTATTTTGCCCCCTGACCCCCAAAACAGTCCTGTGTGGCCCCCTTAACCCTGTTTTCAGATACTCACAGCCGTGTCATCTAGGGAAATCTCAAGTATTCTTTCCTGCAGGCAGGTGGGATAGAGGGCTGAAGGTCTCCCACCCTCCCTTTTCTGGTGAACCATTTAGGCCTCTGGGCTGGGCTGGGCTCTGGGACCTAGGCAAGTCCTTTCACTTATCTGATGTCTGCTCTACTCCTTTGTGGTTCTTAGTCCCTGGTGTGTTCCTGCTGCTGTTCCTGAAGGATGTGTGTTCAAGTCTGCACACAGATGTGTGTGTGCGCACTTGTGGATGCAAGCCTGAGTATGTGCAACTGTGCGCTATGTCAATATGTCTGTCTGCATAAGTGTGTGTGTGTGTGTGTGTGTACTCATCCATATGTGCGTCTGTGGTTCTGTCCATGTGCATGTTTGTATGTGTGCCTGTCTGTGGCATGTTCCCTCTGTATGTGTGTGTGTGTGTGTGTGTACATGTTCCTGTTTGTCTGTGGATGTGCTTAATCTGCAGCATTCTCTCTGCCCAGCACATAGTAGGTGTACAGTGAATGTTGAATGAATGCCTGGTTTGCAGCAAGCTATGCAAAGGAACCTGGACGGGTCTGAAAGGAAAACAAGGAAGGAATAATCTGCTGGGCTGATAAGGGTAGGGTGGAAGGAATTGGAGGTCCAGGGCAGATTAGGGTACCTGGCTTCCTGGAGCCAGGGATGCCTGGTGATTCCTTTCAGGTCCTAGGCGGCCGGAACTGTGATGGTCACATAGCACTTACCCTATCTCCCTGTACTCTGCAGCTGCCACTGGGCCCAAGAGATGGCTTCCCTCCTGGGCGGCCCCTCCCCTGGCAGGGGCCGAGGACACTGCTGCTGCGCAAAAGTCTCCAGGATGGCTTTGGCTTCACCCTGCGCCACTTCATCGTGTACCCTCCCGACTCAGCTGTGCACTGCAGCCTGAAGGTACGCCCAGCTCACCTACCAGCTCCAGTTAGTCGGGGAAGCTTGATGGGGGAGGAGGGAGGGGTGTGTGACTCCTTTTTCCTAGAACCTTCTCAGAGAAGCAGCCCTTCCTGGGGTCCTGCCTGACTTCTGCTGAAGTCAAAGAAGGCTTCAGGGAAGTGAGCTGGAGGGGCTGGAACATGGGTGCGATGAGACCATAAGCAAACCCCCTTACTATTCTGGAGGAGCAAAGTGGTGGCTGGCTGAGAGTAGTAGATCCAAAGATGGGGAGTCAGGATGCCCCTACCATAACATTTGGTCTCTGAAAAGGGAACATTGTCTTGGAAAAGAAAGATGGAGTTCCTGGGACTCCTTGTCCACTGGATGCTTGTGAGCTGGGTCTGCCCTACCTAGCCCTACCTAGCCCGAGAGATCAGGGCATTTGACACACTCCCAGAGTGCCCCGTGTTTATTCCGCCTGCCACAGTTCTGTGGCCTGGAAAGAGCTCCAGAATAGGACAGAAGAGCCCTGGGCTGTCGTCTTGGTACCGCAGCTAACTCCCTGAGGACTGGGGACCATTCCATCCCTCTCCGGTTCCTTTTCTGCTGTAGCTTGAGGGTAGTTTTTGCTTCGATCTCTAAGAACATTTTAAGCCCTAATATAAACATCAAGTTCTCCAAAGTCAGGGAGCCAGGGTTCCTCAGCTCAATCCAAGTTGTAGGCTGGGGGGTAGGGGTCCCCAAGGGAAGAGGAGGAGTATGGGTGCCTGGCAGCAACCAGGGCTCCCCACAAGGGCCTCTCCTCCACATCTCTTCCTACAGAAAGAGATTTATATTGGAGTCAGCAAAGCCCCTCTTTCCTTCCCCCAGGACTGGGATGCTAACCCTAGGGACCTTGGTCCCACCCTGCCAGAGGACCTAGATGTCACATGTCACTGTATTTGTGTGCTGCTTGCGTGTCTCAGTGCACACCTGTATGCAATTATGCTGGGCTTGGACATGTACACGTGTATCTATATTATGTATACATAGAGATACACTTAATTTAGGTAATGTGCATATGTCACTGCATCTCTTACACATGTCTGAATCAGGGGTGCCTGCATAACTATGGTCATTGGCTGCAGCTGTGCCTGGAACCAAAGTGGGGGCTGATGGCCTGTAGCACTGTCTACCTCTAAAAGCCCCAGGATATCCCCTGAGTTCCCTGAAACCCAGTCTTTCCTCCTCTCCTTCCCCAGAACGCCCCTCCTCCCAGACCCCTGCCATCTTCTCTCAGAGGACCCTGCTGAGGGAGACAGTTGCCGAAGCAGCTCTCTCCTCCCATGGGCACTGGCAAAGTCTGGGGCAGGGCAAGTCAGGAGTGGTTCCATTCAGTTTCTAAAACCTGCCCAGGATTGGGAGGGGCTCTTGGCCTAGAGGCAGGAGGAGGCCCAGTTTTGCAGCCTTGGAGCCTGCAGGGAACTGAGCCGTCCTAATGCATCTGTCTGCCTCTGCCACCCGCTCTCCCTGCTGTCAGCTCACATCAGTGGGCACACACCGCACACAGGAGAGGGCCTGGGTTCCAGCAGCATCCAACAGCCTTCTTTGCTCCACTCTGGCCCGACTAGGTTGCCAGTAAATCCCAGGATCCAGCCTTTGGTTCTACTGCTGTGCCTTGGACATGGCATGCCTGTCCTCTGTAAAATGGAAGCGCCTATGGAGAGGGTTGGACAAGATGATACTGAAGGTGGTCCAGCTCTGAAATGCCATGTCCTGCTGGCTTGGCCTGTCTCTGACCTCCTTCTAGTTGCTCCATAAAGCCAGTGCCCTCCACCTCAGCAGAATGGTCTCCTGAGCTTCCTAGGAGGTCTTGTGACTCTCTGAACCTAGCTACTAGGATCCTGACCCCTCTTTCCTGGCTCCCTCTTCTTTCTTTCCAAACCTGACCTCTGCCATTTGTTGGTATTGACCTTCTGCTTCAGCTCAGCAGATCCCAGCCCTACATGTGCTTGCCTTTTCCTGCTGGAGCAGCTGACACCCCCTCCCCTCCCCCAGAGTGCCTGCTCCAGCCACTTTCAAACATGCCCTACAGTCTCCTCCCCCAGAGGACTGCTAATCAGCTCTTCCTGTCCCCTTCTTCTGAGATAGCACTACTTGCACTTGTCGGGCTGCTTATCTGTGTTGGCCTTAGCCTTCTGTGTGTGAGGAGGATGTGGAATGTTCCTCTTTTCCTAGGAGCTTCCCAAGGGAAGGAGGGGTGGGTCCCTGGTGGATTGGGGGTTCCCAGATGGCTAGGACGCTAAGCTGGTGGAATTGGCATGTGTGAGGGGTGGGGAGCACATGTTGGTGGGGAATATGGTCTGGGATTCCGTGCTCCCGCTGATAGCCCTGCCACTCCCTGCCAGCCAGTTGAAAGGAGATAAGGGGTGTTGGGAGCTTGGAGGGGCCTCCCAGGCCTCAGTGGAGTTGGAGCTGGCCCTTTGGCCCTCCCCAAAGCTGTAGATGCTGCTGAGGGCAGGACCTGAGGCCACACCTACCTCTCTGTTCCTTGCAGGAGGAAGAGAATGGAGGCCGAGCCAGAGGCCCCGGAGGAGGTAAGGGTGGTTGGAGCAGGCAGGTTCCAGGGGCTAGGGTGGTCATGGTGGTGGCTGCACTCACCCTGGCTTGTTTCTTTCCAGTTCTCTACTCAGCCCCACTTTCTACTCCTGCCTTCTTCTCTCTGCCTCCTGATCTGGCTCACCCTGGGCATTTCCTCCTCCCTTTCTGTCCTCAGGTTTATCTCCTTGAAGGCTCTGTCCCTTTCATCAATGGGTATCTCTTTGACACTTGTGGTCCCTGGCCTCCCTCCAGTTTCTCTCTGCCCAAGCCAAGGCTGCAGGGCTTGGGGAACTGTGGTGGGATGCTCTGAGGAAAGGTTCTCCTGATGGATAGACAGTGGGTCCTCATGGAAGTAGGTGGGTCCTGAGGTCTTTCTTAAGATGCAAACCTAACTCCTCTTGCTGTCAGCTTTGCTATTCCACGGGCCTGCCAGGGTACTTGAGTCAGAACTCCTAAATGGGCAGCCTTCTTGGACCTGACTTCTTGAGTCCCAGTACCACAGGCTGTGTTGTAGGTAGGGAGATGGCTGCCCTAGAACAGGCTTACTTTGAGGACAGAGATTTATTGTTGGGGTATAATGGGATTCATGCCCCACCCAGGGTGCTCAGGACTGTTTGTGAAGCCCTTCCCCCACCCTGGACCTTGGAGAAGGGAGCATGCAGGGTTGTGAGTGTCGGATGCCTCTGGGTCTGTGCTGCGGACATTTCTTTGGATGCCTGTGTCTCCCCCGCCAGGTATCTTCAGGCCTTGATATGGCCTCTTGGTTTTGTGACTAGTGTTTGTGACTCTGTCTCCTTAGTAGACAGTGAGGGAAAGAACTGAATATACATGCCCTATTCAGTCTGGTTTATTTACATAGCAGCTCTTTCTGTGTCCAGGAAAGTAGTCTTTCTCTCAGGTATGACCTCTTGTCTGGCTCTGTGAATCTGTTCCCAGTGTCCCAGTATGGATGTGTGGCTCCGTGTATGCTTGTGTCTTTGATAGTGTGATAATCTTGCATGTACCGTGTGTGTGTGTGTGTGTGTGTGTGTGTGTGTGTGTGTGTGTGTGTGGTATGTGTGTGTAGCTGGGTTGATGGGTGTGGCTGACCTTTAGCAGCAGTTACCCCAGCTAACCTGGCTGATGACCACCAGGACCCTCCCCCCGGCACCGCCTGGAGCCCATGGATACCATCTTTGTCAAGAATGTGAAGGATGATGGCCCTGCCCACAGGGCGGGGCTTCGAACAGGTGAGTTATCTCAGTTACCTTGTTTATTGCATGCATACACACACACACACACACACACACACACACACGCACACACCATACACTACCCTCAGGACTCTGATCCCTACCTTCAAGATGAGATGAAACTATTTTTATTTTTATTTTTGTCAGTTGGGGGACTTGAACTCGGGGCCTGGATGCTGTCCTTGAGCTCTTTCACTCAAGGCTAGTGCTCTACCACTTTGTGCCATAGCTCTAGTTTTCTGCTGGTTTACTGGAGAAAAGAATCTTACAGACTTTCCTGCCTGGGCTGACTTTGAACCTTGATCCTCAGATCTCAGCCTCCTGAGTAGCTAGGATTACAGGTGTGAGCCACTAGCATACAGCTAGGATGGAATTCTTTTTTTTTTTTTAAATCGGTCATGGGGCCTGAACTCTGGGCCTGGGCGCTGTCCCTCAGCTCTTCAGCTCAAGGCTAGCGCTCTACCACTTGAGCCACAGCGCCCCTTCTAGCTTTTTCTGTTTATGTGGTGCTGAGGAATTGAATCCAGGGCCTCATGCATGCAAGGCAAGCACTCTACCACTGAGCCACCTTCCCAGCCCCAGGATGGAATTCTTGAATTCTGGTGTCATTCCTACTTGGCATAGGGATTCCTATAGGGGCCATAGACACGCCTTGGCCGCTCACATATAAGCCCTGCCTGCCATTTGTCCTCAGGAGACCGGCTGGTGAAAGTAAACGGGGAGAGTGTCGTTGGGAAAACCTACTCCCAGGTCATAGCTCTGATCCAGAACAGGTGAGCTCCCTCTGCCTCCCTCCTCCTCCAGGAGCTCCCAGCCCACCCCATACCCTTGGTCCTGGGGTCCTGTACCAGGATCTCTGGTCTCCTCAGCCTGGCCTGACCTTCTCCCTGTGTCTGCAGTGATGACACCCTGGAGCTCTCCATCATGCCCAAGGACGAGGACATCCTTCAGCTGGTGAGTTCAGCCACTGAACCCAGGGGCAGAAGAAGCCCTTCTCTCCTACATTGGCCTTTGTAGAATACAGAGAAGGAAACACAGATTGGTATTGCCCAACTTGGGCTGCCAGACCCATCCCTGGGCTGGGGCTGCTGGTTGCTTCATTCAGGGCAACTCTGCGCTCTGTGCTTTGGCAGGCAGGATTCCTGCCAGGATATCTGGAAGGAGAGTGGCCCAGCGGGCCCTGCCAGACTGGCATGTTCTTGTTGCTTCTGTGAAAGGTGTCTGTTTCCTGTGCCCCCCACCCCAATTCATCCTTGACCTCAATGAGTGTTTCCGCAGGTGTAGACCTGCATGCACAACAAATATGCTCTCCCCCGCCCGCCCGCCGTGTGCCCTCCTGTACCCCACTGCCATGGGGACCACTCAGCGAAACACCAGATATACAACCCATAAAACCCCCTTCATACGGTACACCATATGGTACAGTGTGCCATAACATATGCACCACACCATACCTAAGCCATAAACCTAAGTACCACCAAAGTCCCTCCTCAAAATACCACTGCACACTACCCAACCTCTGCCCTCAAACAGCAAGACTGTATAGCTTGCTCACCAGCAGCAACATTTACCCCAGTGCCCACACCAAAATCTGTCACAATGCGTAGATTTCAACTCCATATCACTGGGACACAAATATCCACTGGTGTGCCCTCCACACGGGAGCGTGCTCCAGCCCAGCTCAGGCACCTGTGCTCAGCAGGGTCATGGGATCTGGTTTATACAGCGGTGATAGACAACCTGCACCGTCCCCAGCTCACTCAGCTAGACCATGAAGTGTGCAGATCAAGAGCACGACCCACAGAGGGTGTCTGAGGCACACCCACAGCCCTGTGCCAGAGCTTAGGACCAGTCTTCCCTGCTCAGTACCCATGTCCCTGGCCGCATGGCCCCCAGCCAGATGTTAGCTTGCTTGGCCCTGAGGTCACTGTCCAGCCAGGGACAGCCGAGGGCCAAGCCCCGGAGGCCCTGGGAGCTGCTGTGCTGGCGTAGGCCCTGGATGTTCTCTCCTAATCACTGGAATCATGGGCCACACTTGGCACAATGCCCCTCTGGGAACCTCCATCCCCAACCTCAATTGTCCCCTTGCTCTTCCTGGAGACAGGGAGGAAAAAAAGGGGGGCTTAGAGAAGTGGGTGGCTCATCTCAAGTCTCAATGGCCCGGCCTGTATACCTCCCCTGCAGAGAGACCAGCTATGAGAGGGAGACAGGGTGGGGCCGGCCCAGGGCGCCCCAGCCCCTCCTCCTCATGCCCCTCTGCTCTTTCCAGCTGATAGGGACTAGAAGGCAGCCCCTTTGAGCTCTGCTGCCCAGCAGGAGTGGACCAGCAGCCCCAGATGTCAGCATCTGGGGGCCTCTATAACCCTCCACCCCCCATCTCTGAGCAGCCAGAGGGTGGGGCCCAGGCATTCCTGTGGTTGGGAGCCAAAGCTGGAGGCCAATCAGGTGGCAGTAGCTGCTGACGCCACCACCGACGCGGCGAGGCCTCTCCACACCCATCCTCCCTCCTCCTCCCGACAGCCAGCCAGCCTAGAGAGGGGGCGAGGGGGAGTCGCAGGGAGGACAGCGAGAGGGACCCCAGGCCGGCCAGGGCAGAGGCCGTGGGAGGGGCAAGCCTTGACTGGGAGGGGGGGCAGCTGCTGGCTAGGGTGGCGGCTTGGAGGTGGGCGGGATGCTGCCACCAGCACCGTGATTCAGGGAGCTCCGGGAGCCAGCAGGATGGCAGGAGGGAGAGGTATGTGTGTCCGGGCTGGTTGGCCGGCCGGCCGTGTGCCCCTGTGCCAGTGCGCTGGAGGGGCTGGGTATGGGGGTGTGGTTAACTCATCACATGATGTTTGCGCCTGGGACTGGAGGAGTAGTTATTTGTGTGTGTCTCATTGTGTGTGTGTGTGTGTGTGTGTGTGTCTCGGTCGGGTGCGTATCTTCCGGTGTCTCCAGTGGTGTGGTGTATGTGTATGTTTGGGTTACCCCTTCCTCCGCCCTTTGATACTTCACCCTGAAACAGTGTCCCCCTCTCCTCCCCGCCCTGTAGCTCATCCAGGGCCCAGCTGGGCCAGGGCCACAGGCTTCTGTCCCTAGGGGCTGCCTCCTTTTTTGGCTGGGCCTGACACAGGCCCTGTCACTCCTCAGCAATGCAGCGTCAGCCTCAGCAGCCAGTGCCAAATTCCAGGCCTACGGGTGGCAGAAGGTGGCCCAAGGCCCCTCAGCCAGTCTTGCCCCTCCTCCAAGTTGGCCTCTAGAGATCCCAGGCTGGGCACTTCCTCCTTACCCCTCCATTCAGAAGCTGATCTACAGCTCCCTATCCCAGCTTCCCTCTCCCAGCCTCTGCCCACTCCCAGCCCACCCCACCCCACCCTGGACACGCCCCTCGGCCGCCTTTCTTCCCTGTTATCTGCCACCTAGACTGGGCTCTGCTGGAGTTTTCCAGCTCCACTCAGGGCCTGTGGGCATCTCTGGACTTGAGGGAACAGGGACATAGCAAAGGCCAGGATTAGGGGAGGACCCCAGAAAACATGTTAAAATGTTTGTGGCAAAAAGCCACCCTCCAGCCACCCTAAGTCTTCCAGCAATCCTGGCTCTTGAGAGTGTGTGTGGGTATGTGAAGCCTCTTCTTTGTCTTCCCTTAGACTTTTTGGAGCTCATCCTGCCACTCTCAACTGCTAAAGACACCCTCGCTTAGTCCTAGGGCTGTTGTAGCTTTGTTCCCATGGTTCCTATTGGGCTCTGCTCACCTCCCTCTGTGTCTCCGGCCAGGCTTACTCCCAGGATGCCTACCTGAAGGGGAACGAGCCATATTCTGGAGAGGCACACAGCATCCCAGAGCCGCCCCCACTCTGCTATCCCCGGAAGACCTACGCCCCACCAGCCCGGGTCTCCGCCTGGGCCACTATGGTGCCTGAGCCCATCTCAGCTCTGCCCAGTGATCCCCGGAGTCCTGCTACCTGGAGTGACCCAGGACCCCGTGTCCTACCTGCCACCCGTGCCCATCTGGACAACTCTTCCTTGGGGATGAGCCACTCCCGCCCCAGCCCTGGTGCCTTCCCCCACCTCTCCTCTGAGCCGCGGACCCCCCGTGCCTTCCCAGAGCCTGGCAACCGGGTGCTCCCTAGCAGACTGGAGTGCCAGCAGGCATTGTCACACTGGCTGTCCAACCAGGTACCCCGCAGGTTGGGGGAAAGACGGTGCCCAGCCATGCCACCCCGGGCCCGCAGTGCCTCCCAGGACCGGCTAGAGGATGTGACTGCCCACCGCCCATGGCCCTGCTCCACCTCCCAGGACGCCTTGAGCCAGCTGGGTCAGGAGGGCTGGCACCGAGCTCGCTCGGATGATTACTTGAGCCGGGCAACCCGCTCTGCCGAAGCACTGGGGCCAGGAGCACTGGTGTCACCTCGCCTTGAGCGCTGTGGCTGGGCTTCCCAGCGTCCCTCAGCACGCACCTCTGCCTGCCCACCTCGGGACCTGCCTGGATCCCAGGCCCCACCCCCAAGCGGCCTACAGGGTTTGGATGACATTGGTTACATCGGGTACCGGAGCTACAGCCCATCATTCCAGCGACGGACTGGCCTCCTGCACGCACTCTCTTTCCGGGACTCACCCTTTGGGGGTCTACCCACCTTCAATTTGGCCCAGTCCCCTGCACCATTCCCGCCAGAGGCCTCCGAACCACCCAGAGTCGTCAGGCCAGAAGCCAGCACCCGCGCCATGGATCCCCCTACGGAGGACCGCCGCGATGAGGTGGTCCTGAGGCAGAAACCGCCTACGGGCCGCAAGGTTCAGTTGACCCCTGCAAGACAGATGAACCTGGGATTTAGTGACGAGTCTTCAGAGCCAGAGGCCACTGGGCGAGGGGAACGTCTAGGCAAGAAGGTGGCTCCTTTGGCCAATACGGAAGACTCCCTGGCTTCCATTCCCTTCATTGGTGAGTGATGGTGCAGATGGCTCTCTTGGGAAACGGGTTGTGCCTTGTTACCCCACTCATATGCCTACTATGCACAAGATGGTGGGCTGGATGCTGACAGAGTCATCTTGTTTTTCTATCCATCTGCTTGTTCATCCACTATTCACTGCCCCCCATCCTTTTTTGTTGTTGTTGTGGGGCTTGAACTCTGGCCTGGGCACTGTCCCTCAGCTCTTCAGCTCAAGGCAAGCACTCTACCACTTAAGCCATAGCACCACTTCTGGTTTTCTGGTGGTTTATCGGAGATAAGAGTCTCACAGACTTGCCTGCACAGGCTGGCTTTGAACCGTGATCCTCAGATCTTAACCTCCTGAGTAGCTGGAATTATAGGCGTGAGCAGCCAACACCCGGCCCTCACCCATTCTTCTGTCATCTTTTCTTCCATCCTACCTCTCACTCATTCATCTGTTGAACTATCTTTCCATCACTTTTCTTTCCTCCTTCCATCTTTTTTTTTTTTTTTTTTTGGTCCGTTCATGGGGCCTGAACTCTGGGCCTGGGCGCTGTCCCTCAGCTCTTCAGCTCTAGGCTAGCACTCTACCACTTGAGCCACAGCACCACTTCCAGCTTTTTTTCCCCCTGCTTATGTGGTACTGAGGAATCGAACCCAGGGCCTTATGCATGCAAGGCAAGCACTCTACCACTGAGCCACCTTCCCAGCCCCTCCTCCTTCCATCTTAACACCTAGCCATTCCTCTTTCATTTTTCTTTCCTTCTCGCGCGTGCGCTTGCATGCGTGTGTGTGTGTGTGTGTGTGTGTGTGTGTGCGTGTGCGTGCGCGCGCGTGTGCTGGTCTTGGGGTCCTGGGATCCTGGGGCTTAAACTCAGGGCCTGGGTACTGTCCCTGAACTTCTTTTGCTCAAGGCTAGCACTCTACCATTTGAGCCACATCTCTACTTCCTTCCTTCCTTCCTTTCTTCCTTTCTTGCCTGCCTGCCTGCCTGCCTGCCTTCCTTCCTTCCTTTCTTCCTTTCTTGCCTGCCTGCCTGCCTGCCTGCCTTCCTTCCTTCCTTCCTTCCTTCCTTCCTTCTTCCTTTCTTCCTTTTTGGTATTTCAATGGAGATAGGAGTCTCACAGACATTTCTGCCTGGGCTGGTTTTGAACTGTGATCCTCAGATCCCCATTTCCTGAGTATTTAAAATTACAGGCATAAGGCCGGGCACCTGTGGCTCACATCTGTAATCCTAGCTACTCAGGAGGCTGAGATCTGAGGATCGTGGTTCAAAGCCAGCCCAGGCAGGAAAGTCTGTGAGACTCCTCCAATAAACCACTCAGAAAAAACCAGAAGTAGCACTATGGCTTAAGAGGTAGAGCACTAGCTTTGAGCTGAAGAGCTGAGGGACAGTGCCCAGGAAGAGTTTAAGTCCCAGGACCGACCAAAAAAAAAAAAAAAAAAAAGAATTACAGGCAACCAGCTTTCCTTCTTCCCTCTTTAATTCATTGTCCATTTGTTCCTTCCATTCATTCATTCACTACTCTTTTAGTCTTCCATTCTTCCATTCTTTCTTCCCTCTTTCCTTTGTGTTTTTTCTCTTTGTTCTTTCCATCTACTCTCCATCCTTCCAATAAATATTTCTGTCAGCAGGCTCACTGGGCAGTCCATAGGGATAATCAGTAAGACAGAACAGGCTGGTGGTGTGGGAGTGATCCAGGGAGTTCCAAGAGGACAGGGTAGGACTGTGCAGTTCAGATTGGGCGTGGCAACCAGGGAGAGAATCTTGAGAAAAGGACATTTTAGCTGAGAGTTGGAGGATGAGAAGAAGGTTATGGGGGGTAGATGTTTAGGGAGAACCTGGACTGTAGTAGGAGAGGCAGATGCTCTTCTAAGTTCCCAAGGCCCTTTCTGTCCAAGGTGTCCCACCAGTTGCTAGGGCCTTGAACTTTACCCTAGGAGTAGAGGGGGCTGCGAGGGAAGCCCATAGGTTGGATGGTGAATAAAGAGGAGACAAGAAGGCAGAGAGGCCAAGGTGATTCTCAGCTTTCTGGCCTCATTAGCGAGCAGTGTGTTATTCTACTATTGGAGAATCAGGAAGGGCAGAAGAAACTCTAGGGCTCGTGGGATATGAGGCATCCATCCATGAGGGAACAGGCCAGACTGGGCTGGGTCTGGATGGGGATGTTAGATGATTGTGCTGGGAACAGGTCCAGAGAATGTAGCTGCATCTGACCAACATAAGATGTCAGGAAGAAGTCTGGCGAGTGTGGAGGTTCACTGACTATAGCTTCCAGTCTGAGAAAGCACAGCTTGTTTTAGAAGTCCACAGATGGGGGCGTTGTCAGACATTTCCAAGCTGAGAGGGAGATGTGGCCCCTACCCACAGAAGTCCCTCGCTGATGGGGGAGACTACCTTTACCCTCAAAATGCTTCCTATCTGGTGGAGGAGATAATAGTCCCTGCCTTCAGGAAGCTTCCAGTCTGATGGAGGAATATTGGCTCTACTTCAAGAGTCCACTTTAAGGAGTGTGGCCTCAGCCCCCCATTCCTGGGTTCTTTCGATGTGAAGGGGTCCCTCCATATGTGGAAAGGTTTCCTCAGTGTGAGGGGGCATGCCCTCAATGTGAGGGGAGACTCAGTCCCTGCTGAGTACAGATGCTTCCTAGTCTGGTGGGTGGGTCGTTCTGGACAGTATGTGTGTATGTGTGTTTCCAGCAGAGCTTGACCAGCCTATAGTGTGTGCTTTGAACTCAGGGGTGCAAGGCCTAAGGGCTGGCAGGGTTGGGGCAGGTCAGGGAGGGTGGCCTCCTGGCAGCTTTATATCTCCCCTCCTCTGCTCCCAGATGAACCCACCAGCCCCAGCATCGACCTCCAGGCCAAACACGTCCCTGCCTCTGCAGTGGTCTCCAGTGCCATGAACTCAGCCCCTGTCCTGGGCACTAGCCCATCCTCTCCAACCTTCACCTTTGCCCTTGGCCGCCATTACTCACAGGACTGCAGTGAGTACCCCCTCGCCCCCTCCCCCATACCTCTCCAACTGCCTATTCCCCAGGGGTCTCTGCGGGGCCTTCCACTACCCATTTTCTGTTTTCTTCCAATTGGTGTTTGCTCCTCTGGGACTTATGAAGAGAACCCCCTCGTGGCCCTACCCAGAATGGGGGGGGGCTCTGGGCAGCCTGGGCCTCCAGTGCCACAGCCCCTGAGGCCCGCTATGGGTGGCTTTGCAGGTAGCATCAAGACTGGCCGCCGCTCCTCCTACCTACTGGCCATCACCACAGAGCGCTCCAAGTCCTGCGATGATGGACTCAACACTTTCCGGGATGAAGGCCGGGTGCTTCGGTGAGGCCCTGCGTGAATGTGGGGTGGGGCGGCCTCTGCCGTCTGGGCCAGCTGCTCCTGAGGCTGGCTCTGGCATTGGGTGGGTGACAAGAGAGTGAGGTCCTCACTGTGCTTCCCACAGCCCTCACCTTCGGCCCTTGCTCCCCAGGCGCCTGCCAAACCGCGTCCCCAGCTTGCGGATGCTTCGAAGCTTCTTCACTGATGGGGTAAGCAACAAGGGTGCACCTGCGCATGTGCAGGAGGGTGGCAGGGAGGGCTGGGAGTGAGTTCAGGCCCTGTGGCTCCTGTCACCCCAGCATTCCTGTTTCTTTCTTCCCTGCACACACACACACACACACACACACACACACACACACACACACACACACACACACACACACACACACACACTCCCCCTGCCTCTGTGTTACCCTCCTGACCCACCTTGCTTTTGTGGGCTCGGGCTGCACACTGCACCTCCTACCTAAGGACATTGAGCCTGTCTCTCACCTCATCTGGAAAAACTCTTTCTAGAGGTCCCACCCCCAAAACACATGGCTCATGTGGTTTTTGTTTATTGGTGCTAGTACTGGGGCTTGAACTCAGAGCCTCATACTACTACTGTACTTCTTCACGCAAGGCTGGCATTCTGCCACTTGAGCCATACCTCTCCTTCTGGTTTTTTTTTTTTGGTAGTTAATTGGAAATAAGAGTCATGAGAGCCAGGCACCAGTGGCTCACCCCTGTAATCCTAGCTATTTGGGAGGCTGAGATCTGAGGATCACGGTTCAAAGCCAGTGGGCAGGAAAGTCAGTGAGACTTTTATCTCCAGTAAACCACCAGAAAACCAGAAGTGGTGCTGTGGCTCAAATGGTAGAGTGCTAGCCTTGAGCTGAAGAGCTGAGGAACAGTGCCCAGGCCCAGAGTTCAAGCCCCTTGACCGACAAAAACAAAACAAAACAAAACAAAACAAAAAGTATCATGAGCTCAGAGCTCAGTCGTGAGCCACCAGCACCCAGCATCCTTTTTATTTTCTTTGGGACATTTTGGCCTGTTCTGAAACTTCAAACTCCACTCAACAGTTCATTTCTCCTTTTGCTACTTTGTATGTTTTGCTTGCTCACTGGCTCCCTAGCTAAAGGACAAATACTATAGGCTTTCTTCTGTTTTGTTCCCTGCTAGAGCCCTAGTGCCTGTCACCCAACTAGCCCAGGAAGGAACTGTAGTGTTTGCCCTGGAGTGGAGGGGGAACATGGCTCAGATTGACAGAGGGGGTTAAGTATTTAGACTCAGGACCTGGATGGGGGCAAAGGATCCGAAAAGATCAGGGTGTCTAGGCTATAACACTTTCTCTCTCTCTCTCTCTCTCTCTCTCTCTCTCTCTCTCTCTCTCCCTCTCTCCTCTCTTCCCTTGTGGTGTGATGGCATTAAAACCTTATGTGAGTTAGGCAAGCTGTCTATTACTGATATGCACTCCATACCCCACAGTTCTTTGTATGTGTGGGTGTGGGTGCTAGTCAGTACTAGGAACATGAACTCAAGGCCTTGTACTCTTTGCTCAACCTTTTCTCTCATTGCTGGTGCTCTATCACATTATCCATGCTTCCACTTACAGCTTTTTACTGGTTAATTAGAAAAAAAAATGTCTCATAGATGTATCTGCCATGGATGGCTTCCAGTTGTGATCCTCTGCTCTCAGACCCCTGAGTGGCTAGGATTTAGAAGTGCGAAAACCAATGCCAGCCTGGCTCCCCCGCCCTCTCATCGCCCCCCCCCCCCCGTTCTTTTTTTTTTAAAGGTCTGAGACTGGGACTCGAACTTGGCACCTGCTGCTCATTGGCTAGTGCTCAACCAACTGAGTCACAACCGTAACCCCTCTTTTGGATTATTTATGGACTGCAAAATCCATGGTGATATAAACCCTCCATATCTTGAGTTTTAACACATTCAAGATATTGCCGCCTGGCTTGTTTATCACTTCCTCAGCTTACTTAACTCTCCCTGGCTGAGTCCCTTTGGTGGCTGAGTCTTGTTGACACTATCGTTTCCTCTGGTGCTCCTGTGCACACAGCTACCTGCTTCACTCAGTCTCTGTTGTTGTTCCCACTTCCCCTATTTACTTAACTCCTTGTTGACACCACCGCTTCCTCTGTTTCCTTAATTCCTTTCAGGCTATAAAGTTAAAAGAGGTTCCAGATTGGCCTGTGTTCTGCTGGCCTTTCCTCCTTTCTAGCTTCTCCATTACGTCTTATGACCTTAACACCAATGGTCCAGACACTCACAGCACAAGCAAGACCCATGAGGTCACATAGCCCATCGGAGTGTGGCACAGATACAGGCCAGGGCCGCGTGGCTGCCAGTGGTTCATGGGGTTCCTGCGATGCTGGTACTGTGGGAGCCACCCTAAATTGCCCTCTGTTGTCTCCCTGCAGTCTCTGGATAGCTGGGGCACCTCCGAGGATGCTGACGCCCCCTCAAAGCGACACTCAACCTCTGACCTCTCAGATGCGACCTTCAGCGATATCAGGAGAGAAGGCTGGTTATATTATAAGCAGATCCTCACGAAGAAGGGGAAGGTAAGGTGGACCAGGAATGAAGTAGGGGTCGATGGAAGCTGGCTTTGGCAGAACTCTCCAGCAACTCCTACACCTACTCTGTAGCCTGTGAAGTGACAAAGAACCTGCTTAGCCTGTAGCGTGAAGGATAGAGGTTAGAGACTAGGAAGAACTTCAAGGGAAGGAGGAATTAAAGAACTCACAAAAAGGTTTACAAGAGAGGTGGTCTTTGCTGTGGGGGTGGGTAGGTCTGATTAAATGGTGTTTAGAATCCTGACAAACCATCACACAGTGATTTGAGTTAACCTCTCTGAAAATGGCCACTGGCGCTCATGAGAAAAGGTTAAGTCAATCACAGAGGAGCTGAGGCTGAGGAAGAGATCAGAGGGCAGTCTTCTCAGGACTGCAGCAGCTAGGTTCTTGTCCTAAGGGCATTTGAAACCCTGGTGGTCCTTTGAGGAGTGTTAGAATTTTCAGAGCCACATCGCTTCCTGAGGATGGCTTAGAAAGCACAGTTAGGCCAGGCACTGGGGGCTCACACCTGTAATCCTAGCTGCCTGCTTTGAGCAGGCAGCTCAGGAGTAAAGTCCATGACAGTCCATCTCTAATCAGCCAGCAAAAAGCTAGGCTGGAGATGTCACTCAATTAGTAGAGTCTCAGCCCTGAACAAAAAACAAGCCAAAGAACAGCTCCAGGTCCCGAGATCAAGCCATAGTACTGGTCAAACAAACAAACAAAAAAACAACTTAAAGACCTGTTATAAACTACCACAGAGGCCTGGTATGGTGGAACATGCCTGACATCCCAGCTACTTGGAAAGTAGAGGTAGGAAGATTATAGCTAGGCTAGTGGATAAAAAGAGATCCAATGTAAAGCCCAAAGGACGGGGCATATAGCTCAGGTGGTAGAGTACTTACCTAGAAAGCTCCAGAGTTCTATTCCCAGTAAAGCAAGCAAGAGAGGAAGGAAAGAAGGAAGGAAGGAAGGGAGGGAGAGAGGAATGGAGAGATGGAGGGAGGGAAGAAATGAAGAGAGAAAGAAAGGAAGAAAGATAGTAGAAATAAGACCAGTTAGAGTTCACTACAAAGATCTAGGTGAGAGGGGCTGGGAAGGTGGCTCAGTGGTAAAGTGCTTACCTTGCATGCTTGAGGCCCTGGGTTCGATTCCTCAGCACCCATAAGCAAAAAAAAAAGCCGGAAGTAGTGCTGTGGCTCAAGTGGTAGAGCGCTAGCCTTGAGCTGAAGAGCTGATAAGGGGCAGCGCCCAGGCTCAGAGTTCAGGCCCACGACCAGACCCAAAATAAAGATCTAGGTGAGAGATGAAAAGCCTGAACCTAAGGTCTGGGAAGAGGAGGTAGGAAGGACACAGACGGAGGGCAAGCAGGGCCCTAAGAGAAGATGGGGCCTAGGGCATGAACCTCAGCCGAAGTTCCTCTGCACTCCTCCTCAGTCTTCTATCTCTAAGCCATCCATACAAAACCACCACGAAAACCTAGGTTTCACTCTTGATAGCCTTGCTTATAGCTCTGAGGGTCTGGGATAGTGCTCTGAGGAACACTGTCACTTAGTGTCCTGTCTGTAAGTGGGGCTGACAGTAATCTGTTTCTCAACCTGTTGCTGGGGATTAAAAGAAATGATCTAGCTGGTGGCTCATGCCTATAATCCTAGCTACTCAGGAGGCTGAAATATGAGGATAACAGTTTGAAGACAGGAAAGTCCATGAGACTCTTATGTCCAATTAAGCACAAAAAATAGTGGAGCTGTGTCTCAAGTGATAGAGCACTAGCCTTGAGCAAAAAGCTAAGGGACAACATCCAGGCCCTGAGTTCAAACCCCAGGAACTGGCACAGAAAGAGAAAGAAAAGAAGGAAGGAAGGGAGGGAGGGAAGAAGAGAGGCAGGGAAGGAAGGAAGGAAAAAAAGAAACAAAAAGAGAAAGGAGAAAATATCAAAGGAAAAGATTTCCCAGGAACCAGGCTCCTGTGGCTCACACCTGTAATCCTAGCTACTCAGGAGACTAAGATCTGAGAATCACGATTCAGAGCCAGCCTGGGAAAGAAAGTCCGTGAGACTCTAATCTCCAAGTAACCACCAGAAAACCAGAAGTGGTGCTGTGGCTCAAGTAGTAGTGTGCTTGCCTTGAGCTGAAGAGCTGAGGGACAGCGCCCAGGCCCAGAGTTCAGGCCCCATGAACGGACCAAAAAAAAAAAAGATGGAAGGAGGAAAGAAAAGTGATGGAAAGACAGCTCAACAGATGAATGAGTGAGAGGTAGGATGGAAGAAAAGATGACAGAAGAATGGGTGAGGGCCGGGTTTTGGCGGCTCACACCTATAATTCCAGCTACTCAGGAGGTTAAGATCTGAGGATCACAGTTCAAAGCCAGCCTGTGCAGGCAAGTCTGTGAGACTCTTATCTCCGATAAACCACCAGAAAACCAGAAGTGGTGCTATGGCTTAAGTGGTAGAGTGCTTGCTTTGAGCTGAAGAGCTGAGGGACAGTGCCCAGGCCCAGAGTTCAAACCCCACGACTGACCAAAAAAAAAAAATTCCCAGGCCCTGAGACTTGGGGGCTGCTGTCTACCTTACTGCTACCACACCACTGTCTCTGAGGCCCCTCTGTGGATGTCAGAAGTCCACAGGTACTCAAGTTCCTTTTGTAAAATGGGGCAGTACTTGCATCTGATCTTTGCTTACTTTCCCATACCCTTTAAGTTCCCCCTAGATGACTTACAATGCCTGATACAATGTAAATGCCAAGTAAATAGCTATTGTACTGTATTGTTTATGGGATAATGGCAAGAAAATGTCTGCCCATGTTTAGTACAGATAGTCTTTTTCTCTATTTTTGGTCCATGGCTGGTTGAATACACAGATGTGGAAAGTGGTGACCCAGGGGGCTAGCCTGGATATTCTGACCTGAATTTCCCACACTGTCCCTAGGGGGTTTTGTGGAACCTGGGAAGAGCATGTGGGTTTTTGTTTGTTTGCTTTGCCAGTCTTGGGGCTTGAACTCAGGGCCTGGGCACTGTCCCTGAGCTTCTTTTGCTCAAGGCTAGCACCTAAGCCACAGCGACACTTCTGGCTTTTTCTGCTTATGTGGTACTGAAGAATGCTAGGCAAGCACTCTACCACTGAGCCAGCTTCCCAGCCCTGAGCATGTGTTTTAATGAGACATACTTTGAAGCTCTTGCCCAGGCCTTGTCATCAAGCTCAGGGCTCTGGGGACCTCATTAACTTCCCAAGCTTCCCTTTTCTGATCTGTAAGATGGGACAATATTGTTCTTCTCCAAGTACTGTGGTGGGATGGAGTGAGGTACGCAGTCCAGGTAGGACTAGCCCTCAACCCAAGCAATGCTAAGGTCCCTTGCTCAGCCTCCTGTCAGGTTGTAAGGACACAGTGGGAGGGGCCAGCCAGTCCTCACTCCCAATCACAGAGAAAACATGTTGCCCAGCAGGGACAAGTGCACAGATTGTCAGGATGGGGGCTCGGAGGTTTCGGCAGGGAAGGGTAGGGGTGGGGGAAGCAGGTACCCAGAAATCTGAAACAGGAAGGGCTGTTCTGGGCTGGGTGTTGTGGCATCCGCCTGTAATCCTAGCTACTCAGGAGGCTGAGATCTGAGGAAGGATCCTGGTTTGAAGCCAGCCCAGGCAGGCAATTCCATGAGACTCTAAACTCCAATTAAGCACCAAAAAAGAAAGGGAGGGAGGGAGGGAAAGAAAGAAAGAAAGAAAGAAAGAAAGAAAGAAAGAAAGAAAGAAAGAAAGAGGTGTGTGTGGGGGGGGCAAGCCAGAAGTAGAGCTGTGACCTAAACGTAGAGTACTAGCCTTGAGCAAAAAAAGTCCAGGGAGGGGCTGGGAAGGTAGCTCAGCGGTAGAGTGCATGCCTTGCAAGCATGAGGCTCTGGGTTCGATTCCTCAGCACCACATAAACGGAAAAAGCCGGAAGTGGTGCTGTGGCTCCAGTGGTAGAGCGCTAGCCTTGAGCTGAAGAGCTGAGGGACAGCGCCCAGACCCAGAGGTCAGGCCCCATGACCAGCAAAAAAAAAAAAAAAAGTCCAGGGACAATGCTCAGACCCTGAGTTCAAGCCTCAGGACCAGCATAAAGAAAAGAGAAAGTTTCTAGGGGAGCCACCCTCATCAGGAAGGAGAGGTGAGGTGCGTGTATGCTGAGGGCCTGGATGCCTTGAGCGCCCAGGGCAGAATGTGGAAGACACGCGAGCGCTGGCAGCTGTCACAGCGCATGGCCTGGACACCCGAGACCTTCTCCTCCCTGTCCACAGACTCACGAGGGAGGCTGAGTGGAGAGGTGTGACCCAATAGACAAGTGTTATCTGTGACAGAAAGAGACAGTGTTAAGACTCGTGTCTAGGTGTGGGGGTAGGAGGGCATGATCAAGTCTTGGGGACCAGCTAGAGAGAATGAGAGATTCTATGGAAAGGGTGGCCAGGGCTTGCTGATGACCAGGAAAGACTGAGGAAGGGGGAGGTGGTGCTGTCTTCTTGGCTTCCTGGCTGGGGCTGTGAGACAGACAGGTAGAGGCTGATGGGTTCTGAGCCTCATGAAGCCATGGTGTTCCACTGAGACTCTATGAAGTCAGAGGACTCGGACATCCCCTGGTAGGGGTGTCCTGGGGACGGACGCTCTGAGGGTGTGGCAGGAAGGTGTGGCCTTGGGTACCTGTGGCCTTGGGTACAGGGAGAAGGCCAGGGCCTTGGGAGGAAGTGAGGGATGAGAAGGTGAGGCCAACCATAGAGACCAAAAAAAGAGAAGAAGGCATTCACTGGACGAACACAAGGAGTGTCTACTTTGCTGGCCCAAACTAATGTCACTTTTGGAGCCAAGGTCCGCAGGTTAGAGGAAGAGTATCCTGAGTCTGCCCGGTGATCTGTTCAGCGTCCTGATGCCACCTGCTCCAGCCTCCCTGCCCCCTCCCAGTCCTCAGCCTCTGTCAGACAGCCCTCACTGGATGTGAGCGTGCATGGGGCACCGTTCCTGCAGGAAGAGCCAGTACTGAGCGGGGTACCACCAGGAAGACTTCCAGTTGAACTCTCATTTCACCAGCAAGGAACACCAGTACCAGGGAGAGGCCTAATGTGTCCAGGGTGGTCCAGCTAATTTAGCCCGAGGGGTTCTCTGGGAGTCTCCCCAGAAAAGTCCAGTTGTTTTATTATAAGGGCTGCTGTCTCTGTGCTGGGCATCTATGTCCCGGCCCAGGAGTTCTATAAGAGCAAACAGGGCTCACTGCTTAACTGCTCAAGATTAACCCAAAAGGAGGCCAAGTGTATACTGTGTCCACCCTGTCTCCTGTCTTTAGGGAGATGGATCCCCTGCCCTCAAGACATGCCAAAGATTAACCTAGTTAAGCAGTAAATATTGATGCATACCTGCCTTGCTCTGGTCTCTAGAGGCTTTGGGCTCTGGAGGTAGAGGAGAGGTGGGCATTTGCCCTCAATAGCTGGCCAGCCATTTATTGGAGAAATCCACAACCAGGCTGAGATTTGTGGTACTGCTGTTAACAGGGGGAAAAAAATGGCTAGAGCTAGCCAAGGTGATTCATACCAGTGTCCTGGCTAGTGACAGTACTCAGGAGGCTGAGATTAGGAGGATGGTGGTTAGAGGCCAGACTGGGCAAAAAGTTCTCAAGACCTAAGCCAGGCACCCATGGCTCATCATTCAATGAATAAAAGGCTGGGTATGCTGGCTCTTGTCTGTCATCCCCAGTCACACAGGAAATGTAGTCCAGGAGGATTGTAGTCTAGGTCAGCTCAGGCAAAAAGTGAGCCCTATACAAAAATTAATAAAGCAGCCAGTCACTGGTGGCTCACTGGTGGCTGAGACCTAGAAAATTGAAGTTTGAAGCCAGACCCAAGAAAAAAAGTCTATGAGAATCCATTTCCTGTTCACCAGCAAAATGCTGGACTGGATGTATGGCTCAAATGGCAGAGTCAGTTGTAAGCATGAAAGCTGAGCAAGAGCTTGAGTTTAAACCCTGCTACCAGCACAAAAGAAACACAAATGCAAGAAGGGCTAGGGGTGTGGCTCAAGTGGTAGAACACCTGCTAACAAACAAAAAGTTCTGAGTTCACCTGGGCAGGCAAGTCCATAAAACTTATCTATAGTTAACCACAAAAAGCTAGAATTGGGATCAAGTGGTAGAACACTAGCCTTGAGCAAAAAGACTCAGGGCTTGTGTCCAGACCTGAGTTCAAGCTCCAGGACTGGCCAAAAATATTAAATAAATAAAATTCTGAGCTCAAACCCTGTATAGCAGTGATAATAATAATAATGATGATAATAATAATAAGCCAGAGAAGCTGGGTGTTGGTGGCTCATGTCTGTAACCTTAGCTACTCAGGAGGGTGAGATCTAAAGATCATGGTTCCAAGCCAGCCTGGACAAGAAAGTCTTATCTCCAATTAACCACCAGAAAACCGGAAGTGGTGCTGTGGCTCAAAGTGATAGAGTGCTAGCCTTGAGCAAAAGAGTTCAGGGACAATATCCAGGCCCCTATGACTGATCCAGAAAAAAGCTAGAGAAGGCCTCATCCCGGAGGTGTTCATAACCTTGGAGCCCAGATCTGAAGGGTGAGGAGGCAGCCACATAAAGAAGTGGGAGGTAGAGGCAGAGGCAGGAGGGCCAGCAAGACACTGGACACTGCCTCAAACACCCCAGGACTAGGGGCATTGTTCAGTGATAGAACCCTTCCTGGCATGTGCTATAAGTTATGTTTGATCCCTAGCAACAGAAGTAATAAGGGAGTTTGGGTCCTGTTCCCCCAGAAGCAGCAGCCAGTACAAAGGTCCTGAGAAGCTGGGTGCCAGTGGCTCACACCTATAATCCTAGCTACTCAGGAGGCTGAGATCTGAGGATCACGGTTCAGAAAAGTCCCTGTGAGACTCCTATCTCCAATTAACCACTCAAAAACTGAAAGTGGTGTTGTGCCAAGCAGGTAGAATGCTAGCCTTGAGCACAAAGAGGCTCAGGGACAGCACCCAGGTCCTGAGTTCAAGCCCCACACAACTGACCAAAAAAAAAAAAAAAGAAAGAAAGGTCCTGAGAAAAAGAAGATTTTGGGAGTTCACTGGCAAAGGCCTGGCAGCTTGCCAATGGAGGAAAGAGATGAAATGGGAGAGGGGACAGGGCTGCACCTCTGAGTACCTTGGATTTGGCTCAAGGGTGGTGGGCTTCCATGAGAGGATGCTGCCCAGGGAGAAAGACATGCTCTCCTTAACCTTTGGAAACGATGGCGCAGCTTCAGGCTGGAGAAAGGGCTGGCAAGGTGAGGGGAACTGAGAAGATCTGTGCCAACGGTGATGTGGGCAAGATGGTGGAGACAGGTGATACTGTGGAAGCCTTGGAGCTGTGGCTTCCTGAGGCGTTAGACATCAAGGGCGAGGAAAAGGGAGGAGTCGGGCAACTCCCAGGTTTCTGGGCAATTGGGTGGATTGACTGAGTCCAAAGGGGGCGGGGAAGGAAAACAGGTTTGGGGGTGAGAATCCTGGGCCTTGTAGTGGAAGGCCTTTGGGATGTGCAGGTGGACGCACAGAGCTGGCCAGGAGAAGTTCAGGACTGGGCTGGGGTGTCTCGTGGGCCAGGGTTGTGCATGTACCCCCTCACCCTCCCCATTCAGCAGACACACCTGGTTTAAAGCTCTGAGGTCCCAGCGGGAGGCCTGCAGGGAGGGGAGGGGAGAGGCGGGACAAAGCTCAGGAGCCTCATTTTTTATTTTATTTTATTTGGTCACTCGTGGGGCTTCTTGAACTCTGGGCCTGGACGCTGTCCCTCAGCTCTTCAGCTCAAGAAGAGCACTCTACCACTTGAGCCCCAGAGCCACTTTTGGTTTTCTGGTGGTTAATTGGAGATAAGAGTCTCACATGGACTTTCCTGCCTGGGCTGGCTTTGAACCCCAATACTCAGATCTCAGCCTCCTGAGTAGCTAGGATTATAGGCATGAGCCACTGGTGCCCGGCTAGGAGCCTCATTTTAAAGGGCAGGTTTCTTACCTTCAGATCTGTTGGTTGTGGGGTTCATCCATGCATGGTGGGTGTTCAGCAGCATCCTTGGCCTCTACCCACGCCTGTCTCTAGACAACTGTCCCCAAGAGGCAGGTTCCTAGGTGGAGAACCGTATATCAGAGCATGGGCAGAGGGCAGTGCAGGGAGCCCAAGAAGAAGCCAGTAGAAGATATCTGGAATATGGCGCCCCTAATGCCAGAGAGGCCTTAGCAGGGAGAGGCAGGAAATGGACACTGGTAGTGGCTACATGGTAGTCTCAGGTGATCCTGAAAGCTGCATCTAAGCAGCGGGTGCTAAATGGAGTCATGAGGGACTGGCAAAGAATTGGGACAGCCCCTCCCCGAGTGTGGGCAGCTCCTGACCAGTTTTTCCACGCAGGGCGGTGAATCTGGGGTGGGGCTTGTACGAGGAATGGCTTTAAGTTTTAATTTTAAAAGGGTCAGGCCGGCTGGGGCTTGTATGCCTCTCCAGAGGCCCTGCTAGATGCCTAGGTGGCAGTGCTGGCCTCTGGGAAGAGGCTGAGTGATGGGGCTGCGAGGCTGGTGAGGTGAGGCTGGGTAGATTGGGCCTCCTGACATGGGGCAGGTTGTGGGGGTCTGTCTCCATTGCCATCCAGGACCTGCTGCCCTTGGCCCCTTGGCTCCTTAGCTTGGGGCCCCAGGGACAGGCCCAGATCTCACCTGTACCCCATCTCTCCCCCACCCTATGTCTCCCTGCAGAAAGCGGGCAGCGGCCTGCGCCAGTGGAAGCGGGTGTACGCCGCGCTGCGGGCGCGCTCGCTCTCCCTGAGCAAGGAGCGGCGGGAGCCCGGGCCGGCGGTGGGGGCTGCGGCGGCCGGCGCAGGTGAGGACGAGGCGGCGCCCGTCTGCATCGGCTCCTGCCTGGTGGACATCTCCTACAGCGAGACCAAGAGGAGGCACGTGTTCCGGCTGACCACCGCTGACTTCTGTGAATATCTCTTTCAGGCTGAGGACCGGGATGACATGCTGGGCTGGATCAGAGCGATCCGGGAGAACAGCAGGGCCGAGGGCGAGGTGAGGCCTGGGCCTGCAGTGTAGCTGGGCCACGGGGGCAGAGCAGGGCAGGGCTGCCTCTCTGAGCCTCACTCCTTCTAGAAAAGGCTAGCAAGACTTCACCTTACCGCTCTCCACCTAAGTTCAGGTGTGAGGAAAAGCACATAAATAGTCGTTCCCAGAGTGCTTGGCGTCCTGGGTTGGTTCAATGGCCGCCAGGAACAATAACAACTACAGTAACGATGGTAATTATTACCATTGTCAGGACAGCCTGGGGCGGGCCCTGGCATAGCGAGGTCAGTTTCAGGCCAGCAGAGCAGGGAGCTGAGTCTCTAATGGAGCGGGTTCTAGAATGAGGTGCCCCTGTCGAGACTGCAGCAGGGCCGGCCCAGACACAGGGGGGTGAGCACTGACCTTGGGAGGAGGCCAGGAGGCCTGGGCCCTGGCAGCAGGCAGAGCCAAGTGCTTTGGCAGGGATTGGTTGGTAGCCCTCCTGGGAGCTAGCGCCACACACCAAGGGTTGAATTCCCATCCCCCTTCAGTCAACATGTGCACAAATGTGTCTCGCCCACCTGCAGACAGTCAGGTAGGGTCTTGGGGTTGAGGCTGGATGTGGTCCAGGTGGGCATCTCTCTGGCCATGGGAGAGAGGCACTTAGCCCCTGGGCCACAGCCTCTGCTCTGAGAACTCTGGCTGACCAGGCCCTGCCCGGCTCAGGGTGGCATCTTTCCCTACAGCAGGGGCAGAAGCACCTAGAATCGGGCTTCTGCTCTGGAAGCCTGGTTATGCTGTCCCCAACAGGGCCTTGCCAGGGGGTCCTGTGTCACTTTTCACGACCCGTGGTAGCTGCTCTCATGTCTACCAGGATTGCAATAAGTGCAGTGTGCACAGTTCTTCACCCCAACCCTGGGTTGTAGGGTGTAGCCGCCCTACATCTATTGCGGAGGTGACTGAGGCTCAGAGAGGCAAAGTGTCATACTCAGGGTCACACAGCTGCATCTGTGCTGCTCACAGACCCTGAGAATGGAAGAGAGGAAAGGGAAGGAGGAGGCAGGGACCAGGGACAGGCTGTATGGTGGACAGGATGTGAGTACTCATGTAGCTATTCTTTTCTCTCCTCCTCCAGGACCCCGGCTGTGCCAACCAAGCTCTGATCAGCAAGAAGCTTAATGATTACCGCAAAGTGAGGTGAGGGGCTTAGCCTTCACAGAACAGCCTGCCATGGCGGGGAGGGGGCTTCTGGGGGCCTAGGCAGCAGCGGTCATCTGGTCATCCTGGCTCACCTCCAGCCTGGGGCAGGGCATGGAGCATCTCTAGTTCCCCACACAGTCATGCGGGGGTGGGGTGGGGGTGGGATTGTCTTAGGAGGGAAGGGAAGCTGCAAGGGGTAGAGACTTGGGTGGCTTGCATGCTAGGCTCACCGTGTTGAAGACTCCTCCTCTCTTCCTTCTTCTTGCAGCCATAGCTCTGGGCCCAAAGCTGATTCCTCCCCAAAGGGCTCTCGGGGCCTGGGGGGCCTCAAGTCTGAGTTCCTCAAGCAGAGTGCAGCCCGTGGCCTCAGGACTCAGGAGCAGCCTGCAGGGAACAAGGGTAGGAAGGTGGCTGCTGAGACTGGGTGGCTGGCGGTGTGTGCAGGTGTGCTGAGGGCGCTCTTAGGGTGCCCATCCACACGTGTGAGCCTGGGAGGTGCCTTGGGGTTCCCAGGCTGGAAGGACCTGGAGCCTAATCCCCCCTTCATGACATCCCAGCCCGGTGTACCTCCAGTCCACACTGTGTCACTTTGGGGTGGGAGGTTCACCCTACTCTGCAGATAGCCATGTCCATCTTTATATACTTAGAAAGGTCTTCCTAATCCCAGATACTGGGAGGCCACCATGGAAGATTGGATGTTGAGGCCAGGGCTGGGAAAAGTTAACCAGATTCTATCTCAAAAACAATCTGGAGCTGGGCACCAGTGGCTCACACCTGTAATCTTAGCTCCTCAGGAGGCTGAGATCTGAGGATCACGGTTCAAAGCCAGCCTGGGCAGGAAAGTCCATGAGACTCTTATCTCCAATTAACCACCAGAAAACTGGAAGTGGTGCTGTGACTTAAGTGGTAGAGCACTAGCCTTGAGCTAAAGAGCTGAGGGACGGCACCCAGGCCCAGAATTCGAGTCCCACAACTGACAAAAAAGAAAACACAAAAACAATCTGGAGACAGGCATCAGTGGCTCATGCCTGAGACTCTGTGGAGACACAGAGGATTACTATTCCGAGCCAGCCCAGACAGAAACGTCCACAAGACTCCACTTCTAAAAATAACCTGCAAAATGCTGGGCTGGAGCTGTGGCTCAAGTGGTAGAGTGCCAGCTGAGCAAGCAAGCCCAGCGAGTATGAGGCCTTGAGTTCACACGCTGGCACTGGCAAACAGATAAAATTTCCCAGCCTCCCCTCCCCCCCCAGCACCCTGAATACTTCGCTGGTGGAGTCCCTTTGTACTAACTCGTGTGAATGTGACAGTGTGGGCGCCCCGTCGGGCCTCCCCCAGCTCATCCTGGCTCTCTCTGTCTCCTCCATTCCAGATGACACTGCTGCTGCCCCTAAAACTCCCTGGGGAATCAACATCATCAAGAAGAACAAGAAGGTCACCCCAAGGGCATTTGGGATCCGGCTAGAGGAGTGTCAGCCTGCCACAGAGAACCAGGTAAGTTCTTTCCCATCTTGTTCCAGAGCAGCAGGGCAGGAGAAACCTTGGTCTAGATGCCAAGCTGCAGGGGACATGCAGACAGCCTTGTGCCTTGTACAGATCCTGCCCCATGCTGTCTGTCCTCTGGAGGGCACAGCCTAGCCCTGTTCCTTCTTGGTCTGTGGTGAAGTTCCAGCACCAGTTCTGGGGGCGGCACGGAGCCACTGTCTGGATGTAGGCAGAGTGTGCAGTGCGTGTTTTCCTGCTGCTTTCCCTGACCCCACCCTCCATGATGAATTCTTATCCCTTCAAGCTGCCAGCAGCATCTCTGGGTCCTGTGTTACTCCCATGTTGGCCAAGCCAGGGTGGCCCCCTGACCATGATCTCCCTGTGTCCCCAGCGAGTCCCCCTCATCGTAGCTGCCTGCTGCCGTATTGTGGAGGCTCGGGGGCTGGAGTCCACCGGCATTTACCGGGTGCCTGGCAATAATGCAGTGGTGTCCAGTCTACAGGAGCAGCTCAACCGCGGGCCTGGTGACATCAACCTGCAGGATGAGGTGGGTGCGGCAGGGATGGTGGGAGGGGACCTGTCGGGACAGTTCCATGGTCTGTGGGCCCTTCCTATTCAGGTGGCCACCTCCCAAGGCTGAGGACACCCGAAATTCAGCCCTAGCCCCGAGGTCAGAGGCTTGCAGTCTTGGCTGAGCCTTTAGGATAGCAGGATTCACCCCAGCGAGAGGAAGCCAGATTCAAGGTCCAGGCAGAGGAACAGCCTGGTAACAGAATGTTTGCCAGGAATGAGTGAATTCTGGGAGAGGGCCAGCTAGTAAACACGTTAAGCTTTGGTTTGCTGTTTCCTCCCTCTCTCTCTCCCTTCATTCTTCCCTCCCTCCTTCCCTCCCTCCCTTTCTCCACTGTAGTTTTTAACAATGCACAAGCCATACTTAGCCCAGGGGGCAAATAAAACCAGATGGGGGTTTACAGACCCCTGGCTTAGAGGAAGAGGAGCACCCCATGAGCGGAAGAGGGCTTGTGTCATGGGGAGTGTGGTGGGCAGATGAACCCTGTCTAGAGAGAGTGGACAGCCACACTTAGGAGTTTGTAGCAGGCCCGTGGGTTCTCAAATGCTGATCCCAGCATCCTAGGGTTTCAGAGAGGCTGACATAGGTCAAGGACAGACCAGGACCTCCATCCTTGTTGGGACAAGACCCACTCTCTTTGTTCTGCCTGTCACCTTTTTGTTTGTTTGTTTGTTTGTTTTGGTCAGTTGTGGAGATTGAACTCAGGGCCTGGGCACTGTCCCTGAGATTTTTTTTTTTTTTTTTTTTTGCTCAAGGCTAGTACTCTACCACTTTGAGCCACAGTGCACTTCCAGTTTTTAGGTAGTTAATTGGAGATATGCGTCTCATGGCCTTTCCTGCCTGGGCTGGCTTTGAACCATGATCCTCAGATCGCAGCCTCCTGAATAGCCAGGATTACAGGTGTGAGCCACCAGCGCCTGGCTCAGTTTGGGTTTTCATGACCACAAGGGTCCTGATGAAAAAGATGCTTTAGAAAACCATAAATCTGAGCCATGAGCACCATGATCACACAGCACGAAGCCCCTTCCTGCCTTTGGGAGAGGGGAGGGAAAGACATGCAGCTGTGATATCATGCACAAGAGAACTGAGACCTGTGTGAGCAGAGGGAGGGAGACGTGTGAGGGTGGGAGTCAGGGCAGCAACCGCAGCTGAGTCCTCTAAGGACACAAAGGAGGGCTGTACAGGTAAGGGATGATGGACTTGCCCAGAGCCCAGAGGAGGACTGGATGGTTGGACAGAATGGACGCATCTTCTGGGCATAGAGGTATCAAGGGTGAACCTTTGACCTTGATCCAGTGGCCAGTAACTGGGGAAGGTGTGAGAAGATGGCTGATGCTCTAAAAAAGACAGGATCAGGAGGGCAACAGGCAGGAGGGAACTAGTCCAGGAGCTGACTGCAGAGAGGAAGGAGGGGCAGGAACAGCAGGTGTTGGGGCTGGGGACTGGGGAGCTGAGTATGGGCCTCTGACAGGTGGGAAGAACAGAGTGGCTTAGGAAGAGTTTGAAGCGGGGCTGAGTCAGCTCGTATCTCCATCGATAAGTCCCCTTATGGGGTCACAGCAGCCTCAGGCTCTAGACTGTGTGGACCAGAGAGTGGCCTGGGGTGTGTGGGGCCAAAGAGGGACACCCAGAAGGCTGGGTGAGGGGGACAGAAGGCTGGAAGGCTGGGCTGGGATCCTAGGTTCAACAGCTGCGAGGTAGCAGGACCCATCCCTGAGGGCTGGTAGGAATGAGTGGAAAGACGTGGCAGGAGCCCGGCTGGGCACAGGGTGAGCACTCAGTGAAGCGCCTCCCCTGGCCTGAGTCAGGAGCTGGAGGGAGGAGGGCTGGCTTGAGCCTGGGCAGGCCCAGGCTGCTGTCAGTCATAGATGGATGTCATTTGCTAGACCTCAGTGTTGAGTCTGTTGTTTGGGAATTGTCTGGCATTAAGCTACAGCTTGATTGTGATGAGTGTGCACATTGTCCCTTGGGTCTCTTTGTTGAGAATTTTCCATTTGCTTTCTGGTCAGGAGTTCACCGTACTTCACTGCAGGTTATTTGGGCCTGACTTTGCCATGGTACAGGGTGATGGTGCCCTCTTGTGGATAGAATGAGTAGTGACCCACTATTCATTCATTCTAGTCAGCCATTTATTTAGACTAGAGTTTTTACCTTGGCATGGTTAACATTTGGGGGGAAATAATTACGTATCCAAAGGAGAAGGGTGTCTTCCTAATGGAGGGAATTTACCAATATTCCTGGCTATATGCATTGATATGAGTGGCTCCCCTCCCCATGGGTGATAATAATGAATAAGAAAACAAAAGGATAGGGCTGGGAAGGTGGCTCAGTGGTAGAGCGCTTGCCTTGCATGCCTGAAGCCCTGGGTTCGATTCCTCAGCACCACATAAGCAAAAAGAAAAAAGCCAGAAGTGGCGCTGTGGCTCAAGTGGTAGAGTGCTAGCCTTGAGCTGAAGAGCTGAGGGACAGTGCCCAGGCCCAGAGTTCAGGCCCCACGACCGGACCCCCCAAAAAAAAGAAAACAAAAGGATAGGGCTGAGAATGTGGCTCAGTGGTAGAGTTCTTGCCTTGCATGCATGAGGCCCTGGGTTTGATTCCCCAGTACCACCTAAGCAGAAAAAGCCGGAAGTGGTGCTGTAGCTCAAGTGGTAGAGTGCTAGCCTTGAGCAAAAAGAAGCCCAGGGATAGTGCTGAGTTCATGCCCCAGGACTGGCAAAAAGAAAGAGGCGGAGGAGGGAGGGAGGGAAGGAAGGAAGGAAAAGAAAAGAAAAGAGAATGATGACTGGGAAGGTGGCTTAGTGGTAGAGTGCTTGCCTTGCATGCATGAAGCCCTGGGTTCAATTCCTCCCTACCACATAAACAGAAAAAGCTGGAAGTGGCACTGTGGCTTAAGTGGTAGAGTGCTAGCCTTGAGCAAAAAGAAGCTCAGGGACAATGCCCAGGCCCTGAGTTTAAGGGTAAGCACCATGGAAGAAACAAAATCAGGCCGAGGTGCCGACAGGGAAGTGCAGTCAGGTAAGATGAGGAGCTAGCCATGTGAAGGATGGGGGAGTAGAATCCTAGTACAGGGAATAGCATGTGCAAAGGGCCTGAGACAAGGAGGAGTGAGGCATACAACTGCTTGCTGTGGACACATAGACTGGGTCGGTGGGTGATTCTCACTGGGTGGGGGCTTGGTACTCGCTGGTCCAACAGAGGCGCTGAGGGCAGGCTTATGTGGTGGCTCCTGCTCATTTCTGTTCCCCACGGGGCCTGGTCCAAAGAAGGCTCTGGGTACTTTCTGTAATGGGTGTTTCGAGTGTTGGGGTAGACTTCCTGGGGCCAGGTGTGTGTTTTCTGGACTGATGTAGAAGCCTGGGCACCTGGGCAACCCTGGCTGGTCCCGTGTGTAGCTTGACATCTTTTATCTCTCCTCAGCGCTGGCAAGACCTCAATGTGATCAGCAGCCTGCTCAAGTCCTTCTTCCGGAAGCTGCCTGAGCCTCTCTTCACTGATGGTGAGTGAGAGGCAGAAGTAGGAGGGGAAGTGAGCGGAAACCTGGTTTGTTTGTGTAACGCACACACACACATTTGTATGAAATGCTGAGCTGTAAAGCGAGACGCAGAGGACATTGTCCTTCTCCCGCTGGCATCCCCCAGGTCACGCTTCCTGCACACTCGCAATGTGCCAGGTCCAGCTCCTGAAAACAGCTCCCTAAGGGCAGTGCTAAGGAGTCACCACTCCTTCACAAGAAGAGGAAAAGGAAGCTCAGAGAGGTCAAGTGACTCGCCCAGGGGTCACACAGCCTGTATGTGGCAGAGCCAGGATTCTACTACAGAGCTCAGTTCTTGATCAGGTCCTGAGTTGCTTGTTCACAGTTGTTGCTTCCTTCCTGCCCTTGTGCGCATGGATGACACCCATGCCTACAGGGGCTTTGCGATTGCATTCAATGGTGTGCTGCTAAATACTTCAGATCTAGCTGTCTAGGGGAAATGCCCTTGATCTGTGGCGTATTTCAATTTCCCTGGTATAACTCTCCTACTGTGGCTTATTTTAAACAAGATGTCATTAACATTAGCCAGGTGGCTCAAGCCTGTAATCCTAGCTATTCAAGAAGCTGAGATCTGAGGATCACAGTTTAAAGCTATCCTGGGCAAATAAGCCTATGAAACTCCAATTGCCTACCAAAAAACTTGAAGTGGAGCTGTGGCTCAAGTGGTACAGCACTAGCCTTGAATAAAAAAGATCAGAGACAGTGCATGGGCTTGAGTTAAAGCCCCAGGACCACCCCTTCCTCCCCCCCCCCAAAAAAAAGTTATCAACATGAAACTGGGAAGAGATGATCATAATACATTCTCAGGAGCTGGTGTGAGCAGGCCGCAGCACACCCCGGGATTGGTTCCTAACAAAAGCAAGGTTGTAATCTTGAGATTCATTCATGTCCCCATGGAAAGCTTGACTTCATTCTTTTGTTGTTGGTTGTGGGGTTTGAACTCTGGGCCTAGGCGCTGTCCCTCAACTCTTCAGCTCAAGGCTAGCACTCTACCACTTGAGCCACAGCGCCACTTCCAGTTTTCTGAGTGGTTTATTGGAGATAAGAGTCTCTCGGCCTTTCCTGCCCGGACTGACTTTGAACCGCCATCCTCAGATCTCAGCCTCCTGAGTAGCTAGGATTACAGGCGTGAGCCACTGGTGCCTTGCTTGACTTTGTTCTTTTAAATCCACCACGTAGGATTGCAGTCTGGGGAGACAGTCGTTTCTCTAGTCACTCCTCTCCTGATGGGTGCTTAGATTGTCTTCAGATTCTCCCTATTCCAAACCCTGCCTTAGTCAGTGACTCCTGGAGGTGTCCTTGCATGCCTGCCTCTGCGCTCCCTGGGTTAGGAGGTGTGCAACTGCTAAGTGAGTATACTGCTGAATATCTTTGAGAGCTAAAGTCAGACTGCATGCTGAGGAGGGCCTGGGTCACCCCTTTGCAGGCCAGCATGTCTCCCACCTCCCTCTTGGCATTGGATGTAATTCACTGGGGTCAAACCTGGAGTTTGGCACACATGTTATTGATACTTTTTATGTATGTGTGCCAATTCTGTGGCTTGAACTCAAGGCCTGGATGCTGTCCCTTAGATTTTTGCTCAAGGGTAGTGTTCTTCTATTTGAGCCAGCCCCACTTCTGGCTTTTTAGTAGTTAATTGGAGATAAAGAGTCTCATGGACTTTCTTGCCCAGGTTGGCTTTTAACCTCAATCCTCAGATCTCAGCCTTCTGAGTGGCTAGAATTATAGGCATGATCCATTGCATCTGGCCCTGTTATTAATACTTTAAACTTTTACTAGTCAGTAGAGGAAATAGAATCTCATTGTTTTCATTGAATTCCGTTATTACCAGGGAGATTAAATCTTACTGCATTAGTTATTTTTGTTTTTGTCAATCATGGGGCTTGAACTCAGGGTCTGGGCTTTGTCTCTGAGCTCTTTTGCTCAAGGCTAGCACTCTACCACTTTGAGCCACAGCACCACTTCTGGTTTTCTGGTGGTTAATTAGAGATAAGAGTCTCATAGAGGCCTGGGAAGGTGGCTCAGTGGTAGAGCACTTGCCTTGCATGCATGAGGCCCTGGGTTCAATTCCTCAGCACCACATAAGCAAAAAGAAAAAAAAACCAGAAGTGGCGCTGTGGCTCAAGTGGTAGAGCACTAGCCTTGAGCTGAAGAGCTGAGGGACAGCGCCCAGGCCCAGAGTTCAGGCCCACGACCGGACCTCACAAAAAAAAAGAGTCTCATAGACTTTCCTGTCAGGGCTGGCTTTGAACCATGATCCTCAGATCCTAGCCTCCTACATAGCTAGGATTACAAGCGTGAGCCACCAGTGCCAGGCTGATTAGATTTTTTTGTTGTTGTTTGTAGTTCTGGTGTTTGAACTCAGGGCCATTTCTTGCTAGGCAAGCACTTTACTACTGATGCATGCCTCCAAAACTGTTTTTGCTGAATATATATAAAGAGTTACCATGGACTTTTCTGCCTGGGCTGGCTTTGAACTGTGATCCTCAGATCTCAGCTTCCTGAGTAACTAGGATTACAGGTATGAGCCACAGCACTTTTATCTTCCTTTCCTCTTGCTGTTTTGCTTTTTTTTTTTTTTTTTGCCAGCCCTGAGGCTTGAACTCAGTTCCTGGGCACTGTCCCTGAGTTGCTTTTGCTCAAGGCTAGTACTCTACCACTTGAGCTTGAGCCACAGCACCACTTCTGGCTTTTTCTGTTCATGTGGTACTGAGGACTCCAACCCACGGCTTCATGCATGGTAGGCAAGCGCCCTACCACTAAACCACATTCCCAGCCTCTGCTGATTATTGTTTAGATAAGGCCTTGCTTTGTATCCCAGCCTGTCCTAGAACCCCTCTGAAGCCCTGGCTGGCCTTAAACTTGAGATTCTCCTACCTTAGCCCCTAGATTACTAGGATTAGAGCCATGCATACATTTATGTATCAGTTTATTATTAGCCTTTTCTATTTCCTCTGCGATTGCTTGTGCATAGTATATGTCCATTTTCTGCTGGCTTATCATTTTCAGTAGTGATTTGTGGGAACAAGTATTGTAGATTTGAACCCTTTGTTGGTATTTGGAAATATTTCTTCTGGTTGTCATTTTCCTCTGACCTTTTCAGTTAACTGAACATGAGCTGGATAGAGTGGTGCATGCCTATAATCTCAGCACTCAGGAGGCAGAGGCAGGAGGATTGTGAATCCTAGACCAGTTTAGATTCTATAATGAGACTCTAACTCAAACAAGCAAACAAATATCCTGGCTGTCTGTGTGCATGTACACATCTGGGTAAATTTTGTATTTTGGTGTTGGAGATGGAACCAGGGCCTCATGTGTGCTACACACAGCTCTACCACTGAGCTCCACCCAGCCCCAGATAGAAGTCAGAACAGCCTCATTGTGGCTCATTGTGAGGTTCGCTGTGGACATCTTTGGGAACTTCGGGCATTGGGGGTTGCAGGGAGAAGCACCCAAAAGCCTCTCTTCTGTGTCCTGACCTGCGGAGCCTTGGCTTCTTGTCTTGGAGAGTGGGACGGGACCCCTTCCAAGATCAGCAAGCGGCTCAGCCCTTGCTTCCTCCCCAGTGGACAATCTGGGCTGCAGGTCAGGTGCACCTGTGCAGCTGTGCTGGCTTGGCCTATGGACATTCAGGGGCTCAAGGACTCCAAACTAGACTGAAATGGGCACAAAGCAGCGCTCCCGGCAGGGGTCCTCAGCCCACCCAGGTGTGTGGAGGGGGGGCGCCTCGCTTGCTAAGGAGCCCTTCCTGTGTTCTAGACAAGTACAACGACTTCATCGAGGCCAACCGCATTGAAGACTCCAGGGAGCGGATGAAGACGCTGCGGAAGCTGGTGAGCAGGGGGTGCAGTTGGGCAGACGCAGGGGGGAGGGCAGAAGAGCACGTCTGTGCCAGGAGGCCCTGGGTTCCAGTGCCAGTCCCCCAATGGCCTGGGAGCAGCCCTTCTCCACTTGGGGGTCTCAGTTTCTCCATCTGTACCAAAGAAAGGGGGCAGTAGATTCCAGCCTGTCTGAGGTGTGGCAGGGGACGCCCCTGGAGACGCGTTGGAAGCTGCGAGCGTCTGTCATAGCCTCGTCCCTACCCTCCTCTCACCCACCCAGATCCGAGATCTCCCGGGACACTACTACGAGACACTCAAATTCCTCGTCGGCCATCTCAAGACCATCGCCGACCACTCAGAGAAGAACAAGGTGGGTGGGCTTGGCTGGAGTTGGGAGGGGGAATAGACTCACTGGGGTCTCCTCAGCAATGCCTGCCCCCCGCCCCCCCCGCATGTCAGCCAGGGCTTTTGCTAAGTACGGAGGGCTTTCAAAAGCAGGTGGCCTGTCCTGTGTCACTGAGACCTGTCCTCTGATCAAGCTCGAGGCCTAGGCGCCATAGGCGCCATCTTTTCCTGCTCGAGCCCCTGAAGTGTTTTGGTTCCATAGTGAGAAAATGGAGGGCAGTGATGATTTTCTCCTGGGTCTAATACCCTTGGGCCCTCCACCAGCTATCCCACGGCAGTGCCCCCACAGCTGGCTCAAACCCCTCAGTCCCATCCTGTACAGGTGTGCGGGCAGGGACTGCTCCTGGCTGTCTGGCCTGTTCTCCGTTTGCCAAGCTACCTCCATTGTCCATGCAAGATGTCCATTCCCTAAGCTAGGGACAGCTCAGGATGAGGTCAGGGGCGTGGAAGGAGGGGGAATGAAGAAGCGCTGGGGGGGAGAGCTAGGCACTGACCCTGGCCTGCCCGCTTCCCTGCCCAGATGGAGCCACGGAACCTGGCCCTGGTCTTTGGGCCAACATTGGTGAGGACATCCGAGGACAACATGACAGATATGGTGACCCACATGCCTGACCGCTACAAGATCGTGGAGACGCTGATCCAGCATGTACGTGCCCATTGCGTGCGTGTGCGTGTGTGTGTGTGTGTGAGAGAGAGAGAGAGAGAGGGGAGGGGAGAGAGAGAGAGAGGGAAGGAGGGAGGGAGAGAGAGAGGCAAGCCTGGGTTGGGTTGCTTTGGGTGAGGCTGTCAGGTAAGGAGAAGCTGCTGGGGTGGCCATGCCTTCGAAGTGACAGGCTGGCTGCATTTCCAGGCAAAACAGGATTGGATCGGAGAAGTCCATCAGTTCTGAGGCCAGGAGGACCCTGAGCTTCAAGAGAAGGGAGGCAGGAAGGTTCCTGGGTTTGAGGGTGGGAGACAGGGCGACTAGGATAGGCAAGCAGCACGGAGCATGGCCCCAGGGCAAGCTCCTCCGTTCTCATTCCTATGTCTTGCGCTGGTTCAGCTCCGGTTCCCTGAAGACACCTACAGTCCTCTCTCCCCACCTCCTGAGTTCTATTAGTTTTTTAAATTATTCTTCATTTTTTATTTTTTGTTTGTTTGGGGTTTTTGTTGGTTGTGGGGCTTGAACTTAGCACCTAGGCACTGTCCCTGAGCCTCTTTGTGCTCAAGGCAATAAGGGCTCTGCCACTTGAGCCACAGCGCCACCTCCTGGTTTTGAGTGGTTAATCGGAGATAGGAGTTTCACGGGGACTTTCCTGCACAGGCTGGCTTTGAACTTGGAACCTAAGATCTCAGCCTCCTGAGTAGCTAGGATTACAGGTGTGAGCCACTGGCGCCCAGCTCCTGAGTACTATTGTCCATTCACCATAGCCCTGTGCTTCCCTCCCAGACTCCACTCCGCAGCCTACCAACTGGCCAGCAGAGGGCGCAGGGGGCCTTTGTGTTTCAAGCTACAAAGGCAGCTCTGCCCTCTTCTGGAGGTTCAGGATGTTTTTTATGAATCATCACATTTCCATATCTAAATCTGAGACCCAGGTGCCCACTCAGGTCTAAGAAATAATGATATTGGCACTTGGCCAGAGGAGGTGGACCAGCTTTAGACTACAATCCTTCTGCCTCTGCCACCTGGTAGCTGGGATTACAGATGAATGCTACCATGCCTGGCCTTAGTATTCCCTCATTACCCACCTTTAGAATGACCCGTGAAGACAGAGATTATAAATTCCTTGGAATATTGGAGCGATACATTGAAGCTACAAAATGCCAAGGTCTACAGTGCTTTGGGGGTAGAGTTTGAGTGATTATTTAAATGAATTTAGTTGTTTGTAGTCTGTTTGTTTTTAACTTTTCTTTTTGTCAATTTTGGCAACGTTCTACATTTTATCTGAATTATCTATCCTTTGAAATCTTTTTTTTTTTTTTGAGTCCGGTAGTGGGGCCTGAACTCTGTCCCTCAGCTCTTCAGCTCAAGGCTAGCGCTCTACCACTTGAGCCACAGCGCCACCTCCGGCTTTTTTCTTTTTTGCTTATGTGGTGCTGAGGAATCGAACCCAGGGCCTCAGGCATGCAAGGCAAGCACTCTACCACTGAGCCATCTTCCCAGCCCCTATCCTTTGAAATCTTTATTACATTTCAAATATCTTTTCTAGCTATAGTTATTTTTTCTTTCCCTTCTGTATTGTTTTCTCTCTCTGTCTCTCTCTGTGTCTCTGTCTCTCTCTGTCTCTGTCTCTCTGTCTTTCTCTCTGTCTCTCTCGCTCTCTTTCTCTCTCTTTCTCTGCTAATCCTGGGGCTTGAACTCAGGACCTGGGCACTGACCCTGAGCTTCTTTTTTTTTTTTTGGGTCTGGTCGTGGGGCCTGAACTCTGGGCCTGGGCACTGTCCCTCAGCTCTTCAGCTCAAGGCTAGCACTCTACCACTTGAGCCACAGCGCCACTTCCGGCTTTTTTTTTTTTGCTTATGTGGTGCTGAGGAATCGAACCCAGGGCCTCGAGCATGCAAGGCAAGCGCTCTACTACTGAGCCAACTTCCCAGCTCCCCTGAGCTTCTTTTGCTTGAGGCTAGCACTCTACCACTTGAGCCACAGCACCACTTCCAGCTTTTGCTGTTTATGTGGTATTGAGGAATAGAACCCAGGGTTTCATGCATGCTAGGCAAGCAAACTCCCCTAAACCACATTCCCAGCCCTTCTCTTTATCTTGATCAGATATGTCAGAGATTTGTTTTTTTTTTTTCTGATTTTTTTCAAAGTACAAAAAGTTTTAACTGTGTGTGTGTGTGTGTGTGTGTGTGTGTGTCCATCCAGTCCTGGGACTTGAACTCGGCCTGCTTGGGCACTGTCTTTGAGCTTTCTTAAGGTCAGGCATCTACCACTTGAACCACAGCACTGCTTCTGGCTTTTTGGATAGTTCAGTGGAGATAAAAGTCTCACAAACTTTCCTGCCAGGGCTAGCTTCGAACATTGAGCCTCAGATCTTAGCCTCCTGAGCAGCTAGGATTTCAGGCATGAACCACTGGGTGCCCAGCTCAGTTTTAATTTTTTTGGGGGGGAGTCCGGTCGTGGGGCCTGAACTCTGGGCCTGGGCGCTGTCCCTCAGCTCTTCAGCTCAAGGCTAGCGCTCTACCACTTGAGCCACAGCGCCTCTTCCGGCTTTTTTTCTTTTTGCTTATGTGGTGCTGAGGAATCGAACCCAGGGCCTCATGCATGCAAGACAAGTGCTCTACCACTGAGCCACCGTCCCAGCCCTCAGTTCTAATTTTTGATCATTTTAGATACTTTGTTTTTGACTTTCTACTGTGTTGCTATACTGGTTATTTTCCCTGCTTTTAAGGATATTTCGTCCCTTTTGTTTGGGTCTGTTACCCCTTTATAAGTAAATTGCTTAGCTCATTTGTTATCAGTTCTTCTAATTGCTGTTTAAATTCACTTTTACTTCTAAAACTTATTTGTCTAGAGGACTTTTAAATTCATAGCAAAATCAAGAGAAAGGTACAGAGATTCCTCTGCCTAGGGCCCCTGTGTGCCCCCTGTAGTGTCAACCTCCTGCCTTCTTTGTGATTGGGGAGCTCACGTGGACCATATCATAATAGCCCAGGGCTGGGGTGTGCTTAGCAAGAGCAAGGCCCTATCCCTGGAAAACATAAAATCTTTTGGGTGTGGTTGAACAGGCCTGTAATCCCTGTGACTCTGGAGATAGGAGGACTGCATTCCAGCTAGCCCTGGGCTGAAACACTATCTGAAATAAAGTAGAGCTAGACGCACTGGTGGCTCACACTTATAATCCTAGCTACTCAAGAGGCTGAGATCTGAGGTTCTTGATTCAAAGCCAGGCGAGGCAGGAAAATCAGAAGTAGCGCTGTGGCTCAAGTGGTAGAGTGCTAGTCTTGAGCTGAAGGGCTCAGGGATAGCACCCAGGTCCTGAGTTTAAACCCCACTATTGACAAAAAGAAAAGAAAACTTAAAAAAATAAAGTAGAAAGGACTGGAGGTATGGCTTAAGTTGTTAAGTGCCTACTTAGCAAATGTAAGGCCCTCACTTTAAAACCCCAGTGCTGAAAAAATAAAACAAAATAAAAACCTGACAGCTGGACATCATAATCACCCAAGTTCATAGCTGGCATAAAGGTTCACTCTTGTATCTCCCATGAGTCTGAACAGATGTATGATGTATCAGACAAAGAATTTTTACTGTCCTAAAACCTCCTCTTTGCTCTGCCTGGTCATCTTCCCTACCATAACGCCTATAACCACAGGTCCCTTTACTGTCTCCAGAGTTTAGAATTTTCCAGAATGTCTTGTAGTTGGATTCATTTAGTAATATACAGTAAAGTGATTTCCATGTCTTTTCCTGGCTCATTTTTTTTCATTGTATATATTTTTTTTTTTTTGTCGGTTGTGGGGCTTGAACTCTGGGCCTGGGCGCTGTCCCTCAGCTCTTCAGCTCAAGGCGAGCGCTCTACCACTTGAGCTACAGCGCCACTTCCGGTTTTCTGGTGGTTTATTGGAGATAGGAGTCTCACGGTCTCTCCTGCCCGGGCTGGCTTTGAACCGTGATTCTCAGATCTCAGCCTCCTGAGTAGCTAGGATTACAAGCGTGAGCCACCAGCGCCCTGCTTCATTGTATATTTTTTATTGTTATTATAAAGATGATATACAGTGGGGTTACAGTTACCTAAGTTTTTGTTTTTGTTTTTGTTTTTTTGTTTTTTGGTCCGGTCATTGGGCCTGGGCGCTGTCCCTCAGCTCTTCAATTCAAGGCTAGCGTTCTACCACTTGAGCCACAGTGCCACTTCCGGCTTTTTTCTTTTTGCTTATGTGGTGCTGAGGAATCGAACCCAGGGCCTCATGCATTACAAGGCAAGCACTCTACCACTGAGCCATCTTCCCAGCCCCTACAGTTACCTAAGTAAGGTAATGAGTACATTTCTTTTTGGACAATGTCACCCTGAGCCCTTTATTGATTGATTGATTGATTGATTGATTTAGGGTCGGTTGTGGGGCTTGAACTCCGGGCTTGAGCGCTGTCTCTCAGCTCTTCAGCTCAAGGCTAGTGCTCTTCCACTTGAGTCATAGCTCCACTTCTGGCTTTTGTGGTAGTTTATTGGAGATAAGAGTCTCATGGACTTTCCTACCCGGGCTGGCTTTGAACTGTGATCCTCAAATCTCAGCCTCCTGAGTAGCTAGGATTACAGGCGTGAGCCACCAGCACCCAGCTCCAGCCCATTTATTTTTGAAACTGAATAATTTCTCATTGTCTGGATGTATCATGGCTTACTTATTCATTCACCTACTGAAGGACATGTGTTTGTCAGCTTTTTGTTAGTGTATATCTGAGAATTAACTTAGCAAGAAAAAAGGTTTATTGTGTTTTGTGGTCGAAAAGGTTCCAGTTCATGACTGACCCCATTGCTTTTGACTTGTGAAGCTGCAAGGAAGCAAAGAGGAAGAGAGTGAGCTAGGTCCCACAATCGCCTTCAAGCGCATGCCCCCAGTGGCCTAAGGAGCTCCCCTGCGGCCCTACCTCCTAAAGTACCATGTGGGGGCTAAGCCATTAATGCCTGAGCCTTAGGGAACACTTGTCCAAACCATAGCAGACACCTTGGCTGCTTCCAGGTTTGGACAGTTATAAATAAAACTGCTGTAAATATCCACGTGCAAGTTTTTGCATGGATTGAAGTTTTCATCTTCCTTGGGTTAATATGAGAAGAGCTATTTAGTTCCATAAGAAACCACCAAACAGGTATCCCCAAGAGACTTCTCCATTTTACATTCCACTAGTGATGAATAAGTCTTCCTGGTGCTCCACATTCTAGTCAGCATTTGGAACTGTCAGTGTTCTGGACTTTGGCTCAAGTCTAATAGCTGTGTAATGGTTCCTGTCTTAATTTGCATTTGTTTGGTGACATATGTGGTGGAGCATCTTTTTATATGGTCATTTACCATCTGTGTTTCTTGGGTGAGGTGTCCTGGTCATTGGCCTATTTAATCAGATAGCTTTGTTTTCTTATTTTTGAGTTCTTTGTATATATTGCACAATAGTTCTTTATCAGACATATCTTTGCCAATATTTTTCTTAGTCTTTGGCTTTTCTTTTCATCCTTCAGCCTCTTAATTCATTTATCTTTCACAGAATGCAATTTTTTTGGGGAGGAGGGGGTGTTCATCATAGGGCTTGAACTCTGGACCTGGGCGCTGTCCCTCAGTTCTTCAGCTCAAGGCAAGGGCTCTATCTCTTGAGCCACAGCACCACTTCTCGTTTTCTGAGTGGTTTATTGGAGATAAGAGTCTCACGGACTTTCCTGCCTGGCTTGGCTTTGAACCGGGATCCTCAGATCTCAGCCGCCTGAGTAGCTAGGATTACAGGCGTGAGCCACCAACACCTGGCTAATTTTTTTTTTTTAATCTATACTAGAGCTTGAACCCAGGGCCTCATGCGTTGTTTAACTTGTTTGCTCTCCTGGCACTCAACCACTTGAGCCAAACCTTTAGGCTTTTTTTTTTTTTAATACCCAGGGATGGGCACTGTCAAGGTCAAGGGTGATGCTCTACCACTTGAGCCATGCCTTTAGCCATGCTTTATGCTGGTTATTTTTTGAAGATGGAGTCTCTAAAATGTTTCTGTCCAGGCTTACTATGAACCACAATCCTCCAGTTCTTGGCCTTTTTTTTTTTTTTTTGCCGGTTGTGGGGCTTGAACTCTGGGCCTGGGCACTGTCCCTCAGCTCTTCAGCTCAAGGCTAGCACTCTACCACTTGAGCCACAGTGCCACTTCTGGCTTTTTCTGCTTATGTGGTGCTTAGGAATGAACCCAGGTCCTCATGCATGCAAGGCAAGCACTCTACCACTGAGCCACCTTCCCAGCCCCATTGTTAGTTTTGTTTTTGTTTTTGTTGGGCTTGGACTCTGGGCCTGGATGTGGTCCCTGAGCCTCTTTGTGCCCAAGGCTAGAGCTCTACCAATTGAGTCACAGTTCCACTTCCGGTTTTTTGAGTGGTTAATTGTAGATAAAAGTCTCATGGAATGCTGGCACTGGTGGCTCTCACCAGTAATCCTACCTACTCAAGGGGCTAAGATCTGAGGATCTTGGTTTGAAGCCAGCCTGGGCAGTCAGTGAGACTTCAGTCAAATTAACCACTCAAAAGCCAGAATTGTGGCGCCGGGGCTCAGGTGGTAGAGTGCTAGCCTTGACCACAAAGAGGCTCAGGGTCAGTGCCTAGGCCTTGAGTTCAACCAACCAAAAAAAAATTGCTATTATTTCTCTCCTTTTTCAATTATGAGCAGAGAGCATTGTCTGTATCCCAGAGTCTGGTTGCTATTTGATTGCTTTGTGTGCTTTCTCTAATGGTTGGGGGCAGGGTTCTAAGCATGGCCAGACTGGTCCATTCTGTTGTTCAGCACATCTGCATTTTTACTTTTAATTTTTTTGGCTCATTACAATATTTAATTTTTCTGGTCTCACTGTAGTTCTATGAATTGTTGCTTAATATGTATTAAGAGGTTCAATACATATATACTATGATTTATTGTACTTCTTAATCTATTGTTCCTGTACCAGTATGGAAGATTCCTTTTTGACTCATGATTTTCCATAGTTTCTACGCTGCTTTGTTTAAATGCTTCTTCTAGACACCCGCCCCCCAACCACACACACACACTTTTTCTTTTTTTTTATTTTTATTTATTTTTTATTGTGAAAATACTGTACAGAGGGGTTACAGTTACATGGGCAAGATAATGAGTACATTTCTTATCAAGCATTGTAGCTTCCTCTACTTTTTCATTTGTTAAAGAGAGGCAGGATCAGTCAGGTGCTGGTGGCTCAGGCCTGTAATTCTAGCTACTCAGGAGGCTAAGATCTGAGGATCGAGGCTCAAAGCTAGCCTAGGCAGGAAAGTCTATGAGACCCTTATCTCTAACCACCATAACACCAGAAGTAGATCTGTGTCTCAAAGTGGTAGAGTGTTAGCCTTGAGCAAAAGAGCTCAGGGACAGCACCCAAGCCTGAGTTCAAGCCCCACCACCCACTAAGAAAAGAACTCAGGGACAGTGATTAGGTCCTGAGTTCAAACCTCATGACTGAGCAAAAAATAAGAAGCAGGATCAAGCTAGGCACCAGTGGCTCCTAGCTACTCAGGAGGCTGAGATTAGGATCATGGTTTGAAGCCAGCTTGGGCAGGAAAGCTCATAGACTCTTATCTCCAATTAACTACCAAAAAGCCAGAAATGGAGCTATGGCTTAAGTGGTAGAGCATTAGCTTAAGCAAAAATGCTCAAGTACTGGGAGTTGGTGGCTCACGCCTGTAACCTAGCTACTCCAGAGGCTGAGATCTAAGGATTGTGGGTCCAAGCCAGCCTGGGCAGGAAAGTCCATGACACTCTTATCTCCAATTAACCACCAGAAAACCAGAAGTGGCACTGTGGCTTAAGTGGTAGAGCACTAGCCTTGAGCTGAAGAGTGCAGGGACAGTGCCCAGGCTTAGAGTTCAAGCCCCACAACTGACAAAAAAAAAGGTCAAAGACAGCACTCAAGCTCTGAATGCAAGCCCCTGGACTGGCACAAAAAAGGGAGAGGGAGAGAAAGGATTTATTTTGGCTCACAGGTTCAGAGGACCCAATCCATGACTGCCTGTCCTTGGGCTCCAGCAGAACATCTTGGTAGGAGGAGCCTGTGGTGGAGGAACTTCTTAACCTCTAGGTAGACAGGGAGTAGAGAGTGAACCAGGAAGAGGAAAGACTATAAGATTCACTGAAAGACAAGACACATTCCCCTAGTGACCTACTTTCTCCAGCTAGGTATTGCCTCTTACAATGTCTCATTCTTCCCAAAATAACATGTTAGGAATTAAGCTCCAACAGATAAGCCTGTGGAAGATAATTCATAACCAAACCATAACATTCTACCCCTAGCCTCCAAAAGCTCAAGTCCATTTCATAATGCAAATGCATCTTAGACCATCTCCAAGAGTTCTCAAAGTCTTATCAATCCAACATTATACAAAAGTCTTAAGTCCAGCTGGGTGCTGGTGGCTCATGCCTGTATCCTAGCTACTCAGGAGCTGAGATCTGAGGATCTTGGCTCAAAGCCAGCCCAGGCAGGAAAGTCCTTGAGACTCTTATCTCCAATTAGCCACCAGAAAACTGGAAGTGGTGCTATGGCGCAAAGTAGTAGAGCACTAGCATTGAGGGGGAAAAAAAAAAGCTCAGGGACAATGCCCAGACCCTGAGTTCAAGTCATGTCTTAACAAAGAAAGAAAAGTAAGTCCAGAGTTTCTATTTCTTTCTTATCTTCCCATGTCTGGTGTGGCTAAAAGTTCTAAGAACATGTGATCATTGATTACTTGTAAGCAATCTGTTTTAATTTGGATGGGTTTGGTGTTGGTTTGTGGCAGGGTCTTGCAGGCTTGCAGGTAGTCCATAGTGCTGTAAAGCTCACTGTGTGGCCCAGGTTAGCCTCCAACTGTAGCTCCTCCTCCCTTAGCCTCCCAGAAAATAGTATTCAGGTATGCACCACCCCACATGGCCCTGATTTTCTTTTTCCTCAGCAAATATTGAGAAAGACTTCTTCAAGATTCTTAATCTCTTAAATTAAATATATCTAAGTGTTTCATTTTTATTTGTCTTGTTTGGTTGGAATTTGTGAAAAAGCTCTTGCTCGTCCACCACTGAAAGAACATCCTAACACCTTTTTCTGGGTAAAGAATATGATACTTTGATCCTTAATGTGTCAGTATGTGTGTGTGTGTGTGTGTGTGCGCGCGCGCGCGCGCGCGCGCGCGCGCGAGAGAGAGAGAGAGAGAGAGAGAGAGAGAGAGAGAGAGAGAGAGAGAGAGATTGAGAGAACACAGCGACATGTAATGTCTTGCCTTTTCTGCACGTACACATGGCTAGCACTAGAGGGCACTGCTGCCCCCAGCCTTCAGGCTGTCATCTGCGTGAGATGCCCCCCCCCCCCCCAAGCCCGACACGGGTTGATAATTGGCCTCCTTGCACTGGGGGGGTGTCTGTTTTCCTCCCACACTGGGCCCCACTTGCCCCTGTGTTTCTCTAGTCCATAGAGCTGGGCTCCCCTCACCTCTGCGCCCTCCTTCCTGGGCTCCCAGGCGGTGCCTGTGGGTCCTCAGCCATGAGGTTGAGCCCTCAGCCCTCTCCGTGCTGATTTCACCCCTTCCTTTTGTCTCCTCTGCAGTCAGACTGGTTCTTCAGCGATGATGAGGACAAGGGAGAACGAGTAAGTGATGGGGGGGGTGCGCACACATGCGTGCACACGTGTGTGTGTGTGTACACGTGTGTGTGTCCGTCCTGAGTTGGGCCCCCATCCTGGGGACAGAGTGGGCAGCAAGACGGAAGCCTGGCAAGGTCCCAGCCCTGGCCATCTCATCTGATGGAGGAGACACAGCCTTGTCTTCACAAACCCCCAGTCTCACGGGGGAGTTTGGGGCCTGGTTCCCAGGAGACCCAGTCCACTAGCCCAGGCCGCACTGCCCTCCACCCTGAGGGAAGGCTGTGGGGAGCGCTAGTCTGATGGGGGAGACATGTCTGTTCCTCCTCAGCTGAGGGAGCCTTTGGGATCCTGTTCCGTATGGAAGGCACAGAACAGACCTGTGGAGGACATGTAGGCCCTGCCCTTGGCCCCTGCCTGCCACGCGAGCCCTAGTGAGCCCCAATCTGATGAGGAGACATGGGCCCTATTGTCAGGACACTCGGTTCTGAGATGTCCAAGGGGGAGCCTCTGGGAGCCTCTGGCTGACCCCTCCTCCTGTTTGCAGACCCCTGTGGATGACAAGGAGCCACAGTCAGTGCCTAACATCGAGTACCTGCTGCCCAACATTGGCAGGACAGGGCCCCCTGGCGACCCAGGCTCAGGTGAGTGCAGGAGCCCGGGGGTGGGGGGCAGAGGGGGGTGGGCTCTGCCTTCCTGAGGGTCCCAGGCGCCTGTCCAGAAGTCCAGCTTCCCTGTCACAATCTCAGCCTGGCTGTGGCCTCTCCCCGCTAGGAAAACGGCTGGGGCTGTCGGGGCCCCTCCCTGTCTGGGGAAATCCAGCCTCGGGTCTGCTGAGCCCCGCCCCCAGGTGGGCAGGGCTCCGGCAGCCTCCTCCTCCGGTCTCTCTCCTTGGTCTCATTTCTCCCGGGCTGGCAGTGTCCTTCTATGGGAGTTCCTCTTTTTAATTCTTCTTCCTTTTCTCCTTGCACCCCGCCCTCCCTCCTCTTCTCCCCTGCTCTCCCTCCCCCTCCCCTCCACCCCACCCTCCTCTTCTCCCGCCTCCCTCCTCCAGCGGACCTGTTGGAGATTTAAAGGGTACTGTGCAGTGTTGCGGCCTCGGTCACTAACAGTAGCGGGTGATTATAAGAAGGCTGGGCAGGCCTGAGAGCCAGGCAGGAAGGTTCCGGGCAGAGAGCCCCGCCCGGACACACCAGCAGACGCTCTCTCCCACCTCTCCTCTCCCATCCCCAGCCTCCTCCTCAGGGGGGAGGAAGCTCCTACTGGAGCCGAAGCCTGGCCCACCCCTGGCTGCGCTTCCCAGCCCCCAAGTGAGCCTCTCTCTGTGGGAAGCTGGTCACTTCTGACTTGCTAGGGCTCGGGAAGGTTGGACGGGGCCAGCCTCTGCAGGGAGCGCATTGAAGCTGCCCCCAGCAGCCCCTGGTCGCTGGGCTCTTAGGCTCCTGTTTCAGAGGCCTCTGACCCTCTGTCCTCAGAGGCAAAAGAATGGCCTCGCCCTTCTTGGCTCCAGCCACTGCCTCCTCCCCCCACACAGTGGCCCCTCAGTTCTGTCCCAGGCAGAGCTCAGCCCTCCTTGTAAGACAGCGTTTGGGGGTGGGGGGTCAGGAAGGAGCCCTCTGTCTCTTCTAATCACCTGCTGCGGCCGTCCAGTGTGTGTGGTCAGCCCATCTTGCTGTTCTCACCGTGTGCTGGGGGAGGGGCTGGGGGGGCCTCTAACCTGCCTGCCCCAGTGAGAGTGTATTAACCCCACCTGCCCACTACCCCAGGAGGCTGCGGAATCAGCCTGCCCCTCTCCAGCCCTGGTGGGGACCTGTTTCTGGTTCCTTCTCCACTTAATGAATGCTGTGACATACATGGGACCCTGGTCTCACAGACAGGAGGCTTTGTCCTCTTTTGTGATTGGCTGTAACAGGGATTAACCTCCCTCCAATCAGCAGCCCACTGTAACCCCTAGGTCCCCCCCCCCCCACTTCATTACTGCTTCTGTCTGACCCATTCATGTGGTCTCATGGCCTGGTTGGTTGGGGGGATAAGCCCCACCTCTCCATGCACTGTGTGGTCTCCATTTCTCCAGAGCATCTGTGATTTGCTGTGTTGCACTGTTGTGGTTTTGGTGGACTGCATCTGATATTTGGCATTTTCTCTCCAGTGCTTTAGAGGCGCTGGGACAGAAGGGGTAGGGGAAGGAACCAGACCCAAAGAAAAGCCCTCCTTTTTCTTAACCCTGGACAGATGGCAGCCCGCCCCCAGCATGATGTCACTTCCTGCCTGAAAAGGAAGCAGTGACTGACATCATTTTTGGCTTGTAGAAAATGCCATCACACTCCTAGGGCCTAGGGAGAATGCCCTGCCCTGGTTTCTAAAGCCTTTGAGGCAAGCGAGTTCTGTTCCTAAGACTCAGTCCTCTCTTGCCCTGATCCAACTTCATTTTCTTTCTTCTTACCAACAGATTCCACCACCTGTAGTTCAGCCAAGTCCAAGGTAAGCAACGAGGCAGTTCTAAAGGCCTTCTCCCTATCCACACCAGCCCACCTTGGTTTTCAGTCAAGAGAATTGGGAGGGTGATCGTTAGACCATGAGGAAAGTTAGGGTCCCTGGGAAGGAAGGTGGGAAATCCTTAGTATCCAAAATAAGTTGAGAAGTAGCTCACCTAGGCAGTGCTTGGTGAGATATCTGGTCTAGTAAAAGGGAGTTCAGTGGCCAGGAGACAGTGTGGCTCGGGGGTTAGAAGCACGGGCTCTGGAGTCAGACAGTCTGAGTTTGAGTCCTGACTCTGCCACTCAGTAGTCTGGGGACACTGAACATGTTAGTTAACCTCTTTCTGATACTCAGCTTCTTCATCTGTAAAATGGGGATAAATCAGGATGTCTCATATGATAAGTATTCTTTGGGGAGCCTAAAGCAAGCAAAAGGAAGGGCCAATAAAGATGAGATCAGAAATCAATGAAGTTAGAAGCAGTTAAAAAATCAATGAAACAAAAAGCTGGTTCTTTGAAAAAATAAATAAAATTAGTCTGCCTCTAACCAGACTGACTGTAAAAAGAGATGGTGCAAATTGCCAGAAGTAGGGGGATGACATGGGACATCACAGCAGACACTAAAAGTATAACCGGAGAATACTGTTAGCAACTTTATGCCTATAAACTCATACTTTAGAAGAAATGGATCAATACTTTGAAAGACTCAAATCATCAAAACTCACCTTAAGAAAGGATAACCTGGGCTGGGAATGTGGCTTAGTGGTAGAGTGCTTGCCTGTCATGCATGAGGCGCTGGGTTCGATTCCTTAGCACCACATAAACAGAAAAAGCTGGAAGTGGCTCAAGTGGTAGAATGCTAGCCTTGAGCAAAAGCTTACACTTACATTTCTTGCCCTAAGCCTCCTCAGTGCTAAGATTATATGTTACCAAATATCCAGATTTTTATTTTCAATAATTGATTTATTTAATTTTAAAATATTTTAATTATGAAATAGTATTATTTTAAAATAGTTGTGCAGAGGCTGGGAAGGTGGCTCTGGTAGAGCGCTTGCCTTGCATGCATGAGGCTCTGGGTTTGATTCCTCAGCACCACATAAGCAGAAAAAAAAAAAGAAAAAAGCCAGAAGCTCTCGTGGTAGAGCGCTAGCCTTGAACTGAAGAGCTGAGGGACAGCGCCCAGGCCAGGCCCCACAACCAGAAAAAAAAAAAAGAGCAGCACTATCCCCAGGCTGCCAGCCGCAGGGAGCCCCACTCACACCCAGAGAGCCCGCTCCACGCACATGCGTATCTGCTTTACGGAGGTAAAATAGTTGTGCACAACCTAATAACATTTTGGTCCATAATGGAGCATATACGTCTGAGACCCATATTGCCTGGGTATGTACTAAGCTGTACTGTCAGGTTTATGAGTACACACTATGATAGTCACACAACCACAAAGTCACCTGACCACGTACTTCCTGGAACGCATCCACATTGCTCAGTGATACACAACATGGATGCATTAAGACAATACTAGTTCTGTACAATCTCCCCTAGAAAATAGAAAAACATTTTTCAACTCATTCTGTAAAATCAGCACTACCCTGACACCCTAGTCTGACAATGTCTCCGGAGGGTGGGTTTATTTATTTAGTCAGACCACGGATACTTACTGAACATCTGCAACATGTCAGCACTGTGCTGGGTTCTGAAAGCATAACGAGCAAAGCCGATAGGTTCCTGGCCTCCCAAGGCTAGTCTTCTCAAGTGGAAGACAGACATTAAACTAATGAGCAGAGAAGGACCATATCCATGGGCGGAGGCAGAAGCGAAGATACTAACGCTCGTTCCTCAGTGAGGGAGGGAAAAGAGCATGTGCAGAAGCCTGGCTGCTCAAGAACAGTCAAGTCATGTGGATGGAGAAGAGCTGGGACCCAAGCCCTGCAGGCAGAAGACGCTTCCCCAGAGCAATAACGAGAGAGACAGGAGGCAGGTGGCACTGGTGGCTCTTTCCTCTGTGAAGGAAGTGAGAGCCTCAGCTCAGTGAAGGAGAACAGGCAGGCTAGGCAGTAAAGGAAGCCTGAATTGGGCCTCAGGGAAGCAGATGAATCCCTAAAGGAGCCATGAAGTATTAAGGATTTGGGGGTAAAGGGAGGCCTCAGAAATGACTGTGGCCGCAGTCCACAGTGACTGGGAGCCAGCTCTTTGCCCAGCAGTCCTATCCTACCCTGATGGCCTGGCTCCTCCTTTGTCCACTGTGACCCTTACCCACAGTGGACACGGCACTGACTTCCACCCAGTTCACAGGCTGCTGTTTCCCTGACCAGCAGATTCTGGGCCTGCATTAAGCCTGAGGGCTCTTCAGGAGGCTTCTGCTCAGCCTCAGCACCTTGAACATGCACAGAGCATGTGTCTCAGAAAGTGCAGCTTTGCTGTAAGCCCACTCAGACTTCACTGTGACCCTAGCTTAGAATTACTGGAGTGAAACAGGAAGAGAGACAGCCTCATGCTGGCCAAGCACGGGCCAGGCGCCAGCGGCTGTGCAGAGAACTCACCAGTACCCATTCCATGCTGTCCCTACAGAAAACCCTTGAGGGGTTTTTGTTTGTTTTTTATCTTTGTTTTTACTATCTCTATTTTACAAATGGGAAAACCAAGGCTCAGATAGTTTAGGTAATTAGAATTCTGGGCATGGGCAGAGGCAGGTCAGATGGCTTCTTTCCACAGTGAATGCTCTGGGGTCAGGTCTGACCCTCTGCTTTCAGGCTCTGGGTATTTCCTTCCTTCCTTCCTTCCTTCCTTCCTTCCTTCCTTCCTTCCTTTCTTTCTTTTCCTTTCTTCTTTCTCTTTTCTTTTCTTTTTTCTTTTCTCTTTTTTCTTTTCTTTTCCCAGTCCTGAGGTTTGAACTCAAGAGCCTGGGCCCTCTCCCTGAGCTGCTTTTGCTCAAGGCTAGCACTCTACCAGTTGAGCCACAGCGCCACTTCCCACCTTTTCTGTTTTATGTGATATTGAGGAATAGAACCCAGGCCTTCATGCATACTAGGCAAGCTCTCTACCACTAAGCCACATTCCCAGCCCAGCTCTGGGTGTTTCTTGCTTTTCTGATGCAGTGATTGCCTGGATTTGTCCTTAGCATTAGCCTAAACTAGCAGACAAGCCCCTGAGATAGAGATAATGAGGCAAGGACCAGGCTGCCAGTTTATTAGTAATAAAGAGGAACATCTGCCAGGAGGACGGAGACTAGACTCACAGATAGTGGGTGGTCTGGGTAGTCTGATCCACTGGGGATGCCAGGTGTCAGAACCTAGCAAGAAGAGCTCACCACATCCCCTTCTTGACCATAAAGATAGGGCCACCTTAGGCACCAGGCCCTGGCCCTCCTACTTGGCTTCCAAGGGTGAAGACCAGGTGCTGGGAGCTCACACCACTGCTGGCCTGTCAAGTCAGTGAACAATTCTTAGTGTTCTCTGTTTCCTGGAGCTTCTAGAGTCATCATCACCACTAGCTGCATGGAGCAGCAGACGGGAAGCGGTGGGGACACACTTTTCTTTCACATAGCTGAGTCTCCAGGGAGGATTCTATTTGAACAAAGCCTATCACAGCCCAAGTTACAATCACACTGCAACGCCGCCTTTCCGCCAGGATGGTCTGGCTGTTCCTGACAGGAGCATGGGCCAGTGACCAGCTCCACTGTACCCGGAGGGTGTTAAGCAGTAACCAACTCCAGGTCCCCCTCCAAGCTGAGCTCCCAGCTAGATGTCCCTAGCCACTCTAGAAGTAACCTCATGACCCTAACCTAGAGGCAAAATACCTGGCAACATGAGAATACTTACTTGCATTAGTCACATACACTGGGAAGAAAATCCCTGTGTCACTTTGGGTCTCAGGATTCTCAAAAGGCAGAGGAAAATACTGCACTTTTGCTCTGGAAAGGCCTGTGTTCAAAGACCCTGTTAACAAATGCATTAGGTCTGCAGGCCCCTGAGCTCACTCAGGCCACAGGGTTTAGCTGTGAGCACAGCCACCATCCAAACCATCGGAGGGAAGAGGACTCCATGCTGGCGCCTGGATTGGTCTGGGGTGGAGGTTGGTGCTTGGGAAAAGGAGTAACTGGAGGCCATGGAGAGGCTGTACCTACCTTGCAGATGAAAAGGCAGGATTCCCGGCTTAGGGAGTGAAAGGGGACGGGGTAGTTGTGGTCAGAGAAGGGATCTTGGGCACCCTGGGGGACTAGTGTGCCGGAAGCACTGGTCACTACGACCTGGAGAGAGTCTGCAGAATGGGCTGGCCACCACCGGAGCCCTGTGTGAAAGGATTGCCAGGGCTGGATCCGGGGCCCAGAGGGGGCCGGGGAGAGTAGACTCGGGGCCACAGGGACTGCCAGGCCGCCTAGGGGCAGCGATCACCGGGGTGGTGCTCCAGCCGGACCTAGGTGGAGGAGGAGCCTCGAGTGCGGGCTCTCAGGGGTGCAGCCTGGCTTTGAACCCCTGAGGCCTAAGCACTCCGAGTCTGCGCCGCCCCTAACCCTCGCCCTCCTCACCCTTCCTCCCGCGCAGGGCTCGTGGGCCCCCAAGAAGGAGCCGTACACCCGGGAGATGCTGGCGATCTCCTTCATCTCGGCCGTCAACCGCAAGCGGAAGAAGCGGCGGGAGGCGCGGGGCCTGGGCAGTAGCACGGACGACGACTCGGAGCAGGAGGCGCACAAGCCCGGGGCGGCGGCGGCGGGGACGCCGGGGGCCCCGGAGCAGCCGGACGAGCCCCGGCCGGGCCCCGCCGTCCCCACCGCCCCCGGGCGCCTCAGCCCCTCAGCGGCGCCCGAGGAGCGGCCGGCGGCGGACACGCGCTCCATCGTGTCGGGCTACTCCACCCTGTCCACCATGGACCGCAGCGTGTGCTCGGGCGCCGAGGGCCGGCGCGCGGGCGCGGGGGACGAGGCGGACGACGAGCGCAGCGAGCTGAGCCTGGTGGAGACGGACACGGAGGGCGGCGCGGGCCCGGGGGCGCGGCTGGGGCGCCGGCCCTCCTTCAGCTCGCACCACCTCATCCCCTGCGACACGCTGGCGCGCCGCCGCCTGTCCCGCAGCCGTCCCGACGCCGACGGCGCCGGCGTGGGCCGCGGCGGCCCCCGCGCTCCGGAGCCGCCGGGCTCCGCCTCGTCCAGCAGCCAGGAGTCGCTGCGCCCCGCGACGGCCGCGGCGGCGGCGGTGCTGGGCGCGCGGCCCTCGCGCCTGGAGGCCCTGCGGCTGCGGCTGCGGGGAACCGCCGACGACATGCTGGCCGTGAGGCTGCGGCGCCCGCTGTCCCCCGAAACGCGGCGCCGCCGGAGCAGCTGGCGCCGCCACACCGTGGTGGTGCAGAGCCCGCTGACCGATCTCAACTTCAACGAGTGGAAGGAGCTGGGCGGAGGGGGCGCCCCGGAGCCGCCCGGCGCGCGAGCCCTCAGCGACAACAAGGACTCGGGCCTCAGCAGCCTGGAGTCCACCAAGGCGAGGGCCTCGGCCGCCTCGCTGCCGCCCGGGGACCCGAGTGCCCTGCAGAGCCAGGCCCCGCGCCGCCAGGCCGCCTCCCGCCTCCATCAGTGTCTGTAACGCCCTCCCTCTCCATCGCCCCCCCCACCTCGGCCTCCACAGGGCCCCTCTGGCTGGCACCCCCACTTCTACTGCCCCTAGACACAGCAGGGTGCTAGCGAGAGGACACAGGCCGCTGGGATTTGCGTGCTGGAACTGGTGGCGCGGGCCGAGGTGAAGCCAGGAGCAGGACAAAGGTGAAGGGAAGGGGGGGGCGGGGGGCTCCGCTGGGGTCTGTGTCCCCTGGATTGGTGACAGGGCCTTTATAAGGCTGCACTTAGGGACCTTTGTTGGCCATGGGAAGTGAGAGGGAGCCCCAAGACCCAGGCTAGAAGAAAGATACTGGGTGATCACTGGCTTTTGGCTTCTTTCCTCTGCCCTCCCCCACCAGCCCCCGGCTCAGGAGGGGCCTGTGTCTGGGGAGAGGATTTGTACGCGTGTGTGAGAGTGTGTAAGTCACTGTCCAAAGGTGTTTCCAGTAGAAGCTTCTGCTCCCTTCCTCCCCTTGCCCGTTCCCAAGGTCCCTGCCTTCGGTGCACACAGGATCCCTGCCCCCATGCTTGTTAGAGCCGGGGGAAGAGGCTCGGGCCACGCCACAGCGGCAAGACTGAACCCTTCACCAAGCTCATCCCCACCCCCCTTTGCCATCCTCTTCAGTCACCCCATGAAGCGTTTTGACCAAGGGGAGCTACCCCGCTCCTCAGTTTTGGGAGGACCCAGGGTTCCCCCTTTTGGTTCCTCCAGCTGGGCCTGCTCTGTCCACAGCTCAGCCCCCAGAACTCCCCCCCCCCCCTTCTTCCCCTAGGAGGGGATAGTCAGGAACACCCTGGTGTCTGTCTCTTTCACACACTGATTTATGGGGTCTGAGCTGGGCTGTTCCTGCAGGATGGGCAGGGCCCAGCGCCCCCTTCACAGCCCCCCCCCCCCCCCAGTATTGTAAATAGACCTCAGAGCACCAGACCCCTGCTGACCCCTCACTCATTCCAGGGAAGCCCTGCCCCTTCTGTCAGTCCTCCTTTTATGCAAAGATTTGCTGTAGATTTCTCTGTCCTCCCTCTCCCAGCCCTTTATTGTAAATATTGTCTCTAAATGTGTAACATATTATAAAGAATTTATAAGGATTTTTAAAGATGTTTTGCTCATTTTAAAGTGTTGTAACAGTGTTGGATAAAGCTCCTCCCCGCCCTTTCCGCATGGCTCTTTCACTGTGTCCTTGACACACCCGTCTAGGCGACAACTAAGATTTTCTTGCTTCTGAAAAGTCCTGTCTTCAAAGTACAGTCTATATCTTGGAAATAAACAGCCTTCCTGGAGGCATGAGTCAGCTGTCTCGCTTGTTTGGGGGGGGGGGGGGGACAGAGCAGGGCTGAGATGGGAAGCAGGTGAGGTCCCCAGGCCCCAGGAGGGCAGGACAACCAGGCTGGGCGAGGTAGAGGCAAGCCTCTTCCTTCAGGAGGCTTCTTCTAAGTGGCATGAAGACTGGTCTTAGCAGTGGCGCGGGCATGGGTGCAAGCTGTGAGGGCAGTGGTAGCAGGTGCCTTCAGGCATCAGCTCTCTCCTGCAGGGGCCAGGCAGCTGCACAGCTCCTGCCTCTCTGGTCTGCCAGCCTTCAGTACGACTTCGAAAGTGCTGCCCACCAAACAGGCTTGGAAGGCTACCAGTCTAGGCCCTCCAGGCCAAGACAATATTGCCAAAGAACAGTGTGGGGTTTGTATCTTGGGTTAGTTGCATGATACGGTGTAGTGTGGGCTTTCCTCTACATTGTGGTGCTGTACCTGCACCATGCCAGCTTCCAGGTACCCCCTGATGAGCCCGTAGTGACTGAAAGAAGAGCAGATGACATCCATCAGAGACAATCCAGGCAAGAATGCTGGGGCTGGAAAGAGCTCTGAATGTCCTGTGTCTATGTGAGCTAGGAGCTAATGTTAATGTGGGCTCAGTGCTTTGTGTGTCAATTCCATTCTCTGCATTCATGAACTCAACACCAGTCATCTCCATTCTGTATGTGAGGAAACTGAGGCACAGATCAGTGACAACTTGACCAAAGTCACTCTGCTAGTAAGTGTGGACCCATGGATAAGTCAAAAGTCCAGGGAGAGGATACAAGGATTGGGTTACCTGCCCTCACGTCCACCTTCTCCAAGTAGCAGTCAGTTTTGGATGTCCTGTGTAGCACATGCGCACACTGACAAGGACTGCCATTCAGCGGGCAGAAGGGGTTGGAAGGGGTAAAGACATGCCTGGTGTGAGCCCTGACAGGCAGCTATTGGTTCCATTTGTTCCCGGGTCTTCAGTCAGTGATGATTCAGAGAGATGGGAGTGGTATTGGCTATGCTCCATTTCTGGGAATAGAATGCGAAAGAAAAGGCGAGATCTGCCGACATCCTCACGGACGTGGATGGCTTCCAGGTAGGATGAGAACTGGCTCTTCTGGGGGCCTTGGTGGGAGGGGGACCCATGTGGTAGCAGACAGTGAGCAGATGCCCAACCTGTTCCTTTGTTCCAGAGGGCTGGAACAAAGTGCAGCTGGGGCTCCAGCAACGGCTGGAAGACTGGATGCCGGACACTGCCCTCACCATATGGGACGGAATTGCTAAGTGTTCTAGGGCAAGCTTCAGCCAAGCACCTGGAGCTCCCTCAAGGGAGCTTAGAACACACAAACAGGGACACAGCCTTCACATCCCAGGAATTCCTGAGAGCATCCAGCAGGACCTCTGGCCTGCTCCACGTGCATGGTGTGTAGTCACTGCATCTTGTTTCCTTACACGTTTGCATATGCGTGTCCACAGCTTCAAGGCTGATGGTGTTCATGTCCCAGAGTCAGAAGTCTGAAAGCTGTAGAGGGCTGGGGTCATCATGAAAGGTCACCCCACACAGAGGCAGGAGGCTGAAATCCAGCCTGGAGAGTGCTGGAAGCCAGCTGACCCTACTTGGTTTGGGGAAAGCATGGCTGTGGGGTCGGGCAGACTCAGATCCAGAGCCTATAGCTCCCTGGTTGTATGACTCTGGACAGATGCCCAACATCTCCCAGTGCAGACTTCTTAGTCCCCTGTGTAGGAAGTGGCAGAGCAGCCATAGGAAATACACACAGCATTTCTTGGGGTGCTCACACGAGCTGGCTCTTGGGGTTCCTCTTCAGCAGCTGAGATGGTGTTGCTTCTCATGGGCCTTGTGCTAAGTCCTGTCCCTCCTCCTCCACACCCTGCTCTCAGAGGTTGAAGCCCTGAGTACTGGCCCCCTTGCCCAACCCATCCATCCCAGCTCCTTCCATGCCCTCAATAGTGAACACGAGAAATAATCAGACAGCAGCAGACAGGAAGGAGATCCAGGAGAGGAAAAAGAAAGTTTTATTAAAGCCCCAAACACTCGGCTAGAAAAACCAAAAAGGAAAGAGCAGGAAGGTGGGGAGAAGAAAAAGGACATTAAAAAAGAGACAGAAAAAAAACACAGCAACCCTTTTCCATTTAGAAATTGTCAAGTTACACCGACAGAGGTCACAGAATATCCACAGAAGCCATCACTGCTACACCAACATGGGCCCTACGGGGTGGACAGGGCAGGTGTGGAGCCGGGATGGCCCCGGGATCCCTCCCGGGACCCCACTCAGAGCCTCAGCCCTGAAGCTCCTGGGGAAACAGTGTATTGTGGAAGGGGCAGGAGAGGAAACCCCCCATGCGAATAACACAGCACAGTGGGCAGGGGCAAGGGGACCAGGTACAGGGGTCCCCAGGACATCATAGTTTCTCTTGGTCAAGCACACACTGATGGACGGAGCAGCGAGGCGCATGCAGCTGGGGTCATTGACGTGCTGTGGGTTTTGAGAGGCCAGGGGGACAGGGGCTTGGAAGAGCCGTGAGGGTAGTGCAGGAATGATGGGACACTCACGAGTGCACACACACGCACACACCCATAGAGGGACTCCCACACTCCTGTCTGCACCAGCACACATGTGCACACATACACACCTGCAAACACAGGCCACATGCACCTCCATGTACTACCCCTGTCCATCCACACGTGGTCCCACACAAATAGCCAGGCATTTTTGCACACACTTTTCACATGTTCACACATTTGCATGCCAATGCCCAAACAGGTCACATGCATCTATGTGCACACACCTCCCCTGCATGTGATAGGTCATGCCTGTGCACGCATGTCCCATGCATCTGCACACACGATCATTGGGCTTGTGCTAGCATGCACTCACACACACACACACACACACACACACACACACACACGCTGCACACACTCAGACGCAAATGCCTCCAAGCCCATAAGTGTGCAGGAACCAAAGGGAAGAAAGCTGGACTCTACTTGAGAGGCTGGGGTGGGGCACGGCTCCCTCCATGGCCCCTCATGGATGGGCTTTCCCCCCTTTCCCTCCTCCCCCCACAACGGGACATTCAACTCAAGACAATGACAGTGGGGCACACACTCAGGTCACAGGGCTGAGTGGGGGACAAGCAAAGAGTAGCAAGCAGAGTGTAATGGCGTGAAGGGAGGAGGGGGGCACCTCTCCCCCACCCCTCCCAAGTCAGGGGTCTCTGTACAGCCAAATCAAACCAAACCGCTTCACTGGACCACAGAAGCCAGGCCAGGCCGTGCGCCTGTCCCCAGCGCCCCTCCCCCGCCGAAACAGCGGCTAGGGAGAGTGCCGTGATTTTTTTTTCGTTTTTTAAATATTTATATATATTTATATTACGTATATCATATATATATAATATGTAAATATATTTTTAAAACAATATAAAATGTTAAGACACTTCACTTAAATGTAAAGAGTTGCCTGCAATTAAAAGTAATTGCATCATTTATGAGGTCTTTTTTTTTTCTCCTATTTTCTAGGGTTTTTTTTTTTTTTCCTTTCTTTTTCTTTTCCAGGAGGGATTTTTTTTTTTTTCCTCTTATTATTTTTCAAAAAGGCTTGCTTGCCTTGGTACAAAAATGATCCAAAGCTAAAAAACAAAGATGAAACAACAGAAACCAAAAACCAAATTAATGAATATAACCCCATTTCCCACCCCTCCCCAAGCCCTCAGCAGCTTCCTCTGCCTGATCCCCAAGCACCAGCCTCCCCCACCATATCCCAGAATCTTGGGGTTCTGTCTCCTTCAGTGTCCTGTGCTTTAGGGGGAGCCAATCTCAAGGCCCACTCCTTGTGCTTAATACACCTTGTGCTCCAAATGGAACCTGGGGAGCCCGTCCCATCCTTCCCCCTCCACATCACCTCCCTGCTGGCCCCTCTGTGCCCCCCCCCCCCGGGGGGGGGGCGGGACTGAGAATGGACATCCGTGCTCTCACCCTACAAGGGGCTTCAGCAAGGGAAGGCACCTGGCCTGCTGCTCAGGCCTTGGGGACCCTCAGACATCTCACCAGTGATCACTGGATCCCCACAGGTCTCACCCCGTTCTGTGATAACCCTCAAATCACCAAGATGGCTGAAGGCCAAGCTTCCCCCAGCTGCGGGGTCAAAGCCAGCTTATCCTCACCACTCCCCATCACTGCCCTCAGTCCTTCCCCATTCCCCTCACCACTGCTCCCTCCCCACCCTCAGGCCTCCAAATCTAATCTAGGCCCTTCAACCTCACCCACCCCACCCCCATTAAATAAGTTAATGGCATTTAAAGTGCTAAATTAGGAAACTAAAATGCCCCTCCCTGCGCTGCCCTCTCCCAAGGCAGAGCCCCAGCGGCAGAATGTCTGCAAGACCACCCTCCACCCGGCCTCCTTCCTCCCATAGCACCGGCCCAGCCGCCTCCACCATACCACACTGGGCCCCAGTAAACCAGATCATCCCCCGGGACCCAGGGTCCAGCCTCACCCCCCAGCCTGAGGCCTCTCAGACTCGGCTTGTCTCTGGCCAGTCCTATGGTCAGTCCCATCTGTCTTTCTTGCCCACTGTGGCTGGAGAGGAAGGGAGTAAGTAGAGTAGCAGCAGTGTTCACTGTCTCTTCTGAGGTTGGACAGGGAGTGGGGCATCTCCAGGGCCAGGGTCTCCCTTGTCCCATGGTCCAGCCTGATGCTGGGTTTGGTCCAATGTCCACCGCTCCTCCAGGAAGGGATGCTGTAAGGGGAGGAGTCTCTTGCTGCTCCAAGTCTCCGTGGCTCAGAGTTTGTTCCAGGTATTCTTGGGAAATTAGGGAGGGAAGGTAGGAGGGGTGGGAGTGGGGATAGGGGTAGGAGGTGGGAACTTCAGGATGGACTTGGGAGGAAGAAGGTGAAAGAGAAGGACGTGGGCGGAGGACAGGCCGTTTGAGAACAGGAGGAAGTCAAGGATGGTGTGTTTGGTTTTTACTTGTACTCTTTT